GCTACGACTGAAATTCAGAAGAGTATTCCGCCAGAAGAGATAAAGCGGATAAGGGGACCAGGTGTTAATCCAGTTGAAAACGCGGTCTTCCGGTTTTTAATTCCATTATCCTTTTTTGTATCTTGAAAGATCTGCGGTATCAAGTAAAATTCTTGAAATCATCGTATATGATAATTGTAATAATTTATCTTGTTTTGTTCATTTATTAAGAATATTTTTAGATATTATTTTTATATAAATATCATATAATTATTTCCATACATACATATATTAAATTAATTTAATCTGAGAATTATTATTTTTTATATTTCTCATCTGCCATATTTTTACGAAAAAATAATTTTATTTTTAATTTGATTATAATTTTATTATTTATTATTATTATTTTGTACAGGGCTTTTAAAGAATTAATAAATTATCGACATGTAGTCCTCTTCAAAATTTTGATTTAAAATAAATTAAATCTTAGAACACACGAAAGATTGTTAGGTTCTATCGAATGCCTTGAATAAAACAGCTACGTTAAAACGGCGAAGGGGATTGCGAAATAGGCAGATATTTGATGCACAATATGCATATATAAAAAGCCAAATCTGAATTCATTGTGCAAGCGGATCGTCGGCACCAGTGTCGATTTAAACGTCGGCTTTTTTCTCATGCAAAAGCATCTGTAACGCGAGCAAGCGTGCACACATGAAACGTGTTGGACGAGGCTCAACGCACGTAGTTTAGCCCGTGTATCGTCGACATGCAGAAAAGCGCGCTGAATAAACACTCCTGATAGCGTGCTTGTAACGAGTTTAAAATCTAACGATATCCCATCGGTTTGGAACACGACCGACGCTCGCCACTCGCCAGGATATCGAACAATCGCCTACACAACAGAAATTTCGATACCCGTTTTGTATTCATTTCCGCCTATCGGCTGATATTGATATCCTCCCTTCCTACCCAGCAGTTATAAAACGATCGGCGTTGATTGTACGTTATTAAATCGTATCATTAAACGGCTGTATTTTTTGCTTTTCATAAAATGTATGATTTTTACAAACTCGTTAGATATTGAACATACTAGATTGTTGCAATAATTATTGTGATTAAGTAGATAATTATAAACTAAAAAATATGTTATTTGCAACTAGACAAAAAAAATGTCACTTTATTATACATAAATATTAATTTTGTTTTTTATATATCTTAAAGAATTGTTAAAGATAAAAATAAATATATATATTGTCTAAGAGAGAAAAACACTTAAATTATAAATGTATATATTTATAAAAATAATGGTATATTAGATACTCAATTGATGAATCATAGTTGTCTAAATATTTCGACTGCCCTCGTTCCAGCAGATGAAGCGGAAGACGAGGCGTAATAGAAAGTTCGGCAACGAGCAGAACCGAAAGTATCACGACGAGGGTGTATATAAGGAACTCATATACAGCCATGGGAGTTTTGGTATGGGAAGTTGTGCTGCTGGAAGAGGGGGAAAGATGGAATAAATCCAAACAGTAAACAGAGCGGAGCTCCGCGGGGGGAGAAACGTTGGTGAAAATTCTAATATATAAAAGATATGAGAGACCGCGCGCGCGAGGGGGTTGAACTCGAAGAAGCCTCCAGGATTCAAATAAGTGGCGTTACGCGAGGTACCCGCGAGGGTGAAAGGACGGGAGGGTAGGGGTCGAAGGAATCTGAACAGCCAACAACAAGCGCAGCCTCCGACCTTTATTTAACCTTTTCTTAAAAGAGTCTTAGGAGTCCCTCTTATCTGTAGTCGATGGCCCTTCAGCGTTGGTCCTTATACTTTTATTCTTTCGTACTCTTATATCTTTTTCCTTTGGATCCCGTGTACACACGTCGAGCTTCATCGTTTTTCTCTTGTTTCCTCCCCCTTTCCCCTAAGAACTTTTATATTTTCGCGACGAATAACGAGCGTATAACCCCTTTCGCGATATTCGCGGCTTCGCTTTAAGAATATTTTCCCTTCTTTCATTAAGAGAGAGAGACGCTAAGTCGGCATTAATGAATTAAAGGACGGCTGCGAGGATGAAGGCTGAGCCGAAGTAAATTAAACAATTCTGCCGATCGTCGCGTTTCGCTAATTTCATGGGCAAACGACGTTGTTCGCAATCTGAGCGAATATATATGATTTTACTCATTAGTAATAGAGATCTGTTTGGATAATTTACATAAGAGCTATACTTTATCTCTTGAACTGCTGATAAACAAGAACAGAACGAGAATAGAAAAGAGATCTGATTGATTTACTTCATACATGGAAACAAAATTTATTCAATATTATATATCATTATAATATTATATTATATCTGTAATTAGAAAATAATGTTATTTTTTCAGACAATTCATATTGATATTTTTATTCATATTGATTCCTATTATTTATACATCAATACAATTAAAATTAAAAAATATAATTCTATACTCTTTGGTATGTTATCCAAAGTTCTTCTTCTTTATCGATAATAATGAAAAAATATATATTCTATATGTATATATTTAAAATTCGACTCTATAATTGTGTGAATTATAAATCGAGCAGTATATATAAAGTAGAAAAATGTTGATGTGAACCGCGGAGGTGTTCATGATTACAGTAACGGAAAAAAACAAGAATTCAAAAAAGGGATTCAGACACACGAGCAAAATTCAGCAAAATGACATGCCTTTTCTTCTGTTTTCCTTCATCGTCTCCTGACTTTACCGTCCTATTTCCCTTTTCTTTCTTTCCTCTGTCTCACAGACTTCGCTCCGAAACGCCACGTGTTGGCGCTCCTGACTAAACACTGATAACGTGCGCCACGGAATTTCTTTGCATGTTATAAACATACGTAATCGTACACAAATAAGATTAGCATAGGACTCGGCATGCTGGATTTGCAAGAGACACACGGCCTCTCGTTCGCGAGACAATCGTTTCGCACAAAGGCAAACGTATTTTAAATTTATCTTCGTCTTTCGCGGCCGATGGGGATATTTGATTCGGAAAGACAGAGCCTCTCAGTTGACTGAATTGCACAAGAACAGCTAGTCAGCACAACTGAACAGCGCAAAATGACATCATAATACGCAAATAATAAATAAATAATTTTTATGCAATTTTTATTTAATTTTTGATACCAGTCACAAGAATTAAATAAAATAATTATCTATTCACAGAATTATTTACCGTGCATTAACAGAAATTTTGTAGAATTTTTTTCTAGAATAATACGTAATTATGAATATGATTTCTGTCTCATATTATAAACACATTTATAATGAGCATACACACCGTTTTATAAATGTTTCTACTAATAAGAATATAATTGACGGAGTCGGCACTTTTGATATTTTAGTGATGTCACAGATACGACAAAAGTTTTACTATGTAAAGACGCAAAAAAGCGAGGAAATATTTTCGCAGGATAAATACATCGGAAAATTCATACGCGCTTGTCTTCGACGAGGTGTTTTGCTGTTCTGTTGGATCCTTGGGTTGATAAATATTTGCACAAGCAATGCGTCCCGAGACACGTGTGTTTGTGGTAATTACTTTGTTGCGTGACGATTGTTTGTTATGCAATTCGGTTCTCCGACGAAGGCACGAAGTGCGAGGCCAACGGGCACTCGAATTGGAAATATTTTTAACTAAACGTGTCTTGCACATTATTTTACTTGCTATTGTACGTGATATAATATATGTTTAAAGTAAATGTTTATAAAAACAAGTAATTGATTAGAGCAACATAAATATATGATAAATAGTTTATTCATCAGTTCCATCACAGTTTTTTAGCGTGCTGGTCTCATTACTTTGCACACATTTCCATCTATTTTAAAATATCACAAAATATCATTTACATTAATAAAAATAAATTGAGATTAAATTTAGATGTTATTTAATTTGTTATTTTGTAAAATACAATACGTATATATATGTGATTTATCTTATTAATTAATAAACTTTAAATACACGTGCAATAATAATCGAAATTTAATTTTGTGACTTAATTTAATCTTTTTCTTGTAAGAATAATTGTTTTATAATAATCATGTTTTATTATACAAGATTAAAAAGATTTAATTAAAAAGATTTCTCTTATACAATTTAAATCCTTAAAATTATATTGGAAGATGCTACAAGAAGAAAAATTTGCTATAAAAATTCTAAAATTATTATTTAAGAATTTTATATTTAGAAAATGTAAATAATTTGAAAATATTTCTTGATGATGTCATTATAACACACACAGAGCTATTAATTATATATTACAAAATTCATTATATTTGTTATTGCGCAAATCTTTTGGAAGCGTAAATTTGTAACATTATGTTACTTCTATGATTTTAGAATAATTAAAGGCAATAAGTTTTTTGGAGAACATCGTGTCTCTAATACCATTCCATTACATAATAATATAATAATAATGAAGAACTTACATATCGAGACATCTAGAATGCGCTCAAAAGTTTCGACCCTCGTTCGTACCCTCGCAGCAAGAAGCGAGCGGAAGAGAAGCTGAGTGCTCGGTTCCGCCTTTACACTCGACAATCTGCTTGATGATAGAACTTAATAAAACAAATCTCGCTGTGTAAACAGCTGAGGAGACTCGAAGCGACGTCATTCAGACAACAGCAAGTTTTCCTTCGAGCCAGCCAATGATGACGGAGCCGAGAGCTGGCCCGCTCGAATACCATTAGATAAGATCAATATTGTTCAAAATACGGTAGAAGTTTAACGCATGTACATTACGTGGCATTTATATCATGAATATTCCGCCTGGAGCTGCTCTTAGCTCCCCCGCTATTTTGCGTTGCGCTATCTTTCTCATTTAACCCTCGTTCCTTATCTCAAAATTTGTCGCTGCGTAAATATCGATTCGAATCTGGATGATTCAAAATGTAACTCCTTGCCTTGACGTTTTACGATAAAGCGTAATTTCTCCACGAGGCAACAGCCTTTGATCGAGCTCTCGATCTCCATTTTCGTATTTCAGGCTACTTCGCTGTTTGCAGCCCTGAAACAGCAGCAACAACAATCGCGCGACAGCGTCTTCTCGTCGCGGGACCGCGATTGCCGCGACAGGGATCGCCTGTCTACGACTCGCAATCGTGACTCCGGCAGGGGTAACATTGCGGAGACCGGCGGCGGCAACGGGGCTGCTGAACAGCAGCAGCAGGATCTTAGTATCGAGTACCAAAGCAATGGGAAGCTCAGTCCCGCCGGACACGCAGTGACAGCAGCACCCATGACCCAGCAAAAGCAGCCAATTATCACGCAGCAGTCGCAACAGCCCAGCTCGGGGGCGCCAGGGCCCCAACCTAGTCCGCATCAAAGTCCGCAAGCCCCACAGAGAAGTTCGCCGTCGAATCCTTCCCAGGGCCCGCCACCCGGTGGCCCGCCAGGGGCACCGCCGTCGCAGACTCCCTCGCAGATGATGCTCAGCTCGGCGAGCGGTCTCCATCAAATGCAACAGCTGCTGCAACAACACATACTCAGCCCTACGCAATTGCAGTCCTTCATGCAGCAGCACACGTTGTACATGCAACAACAGCAGCATCATCAGGTGAATCTTTTTTATTAATTCCTTCAGTGTCATACACACTTATTTTATAAGTATTTATATTATGAACGCTTAATGAAATATATGTACATTGTGAGCATCTATTTTTATTTATTATTTTTCTAAGTTTAACTGAGATTTTTCATATAAGATAATAGATTAAAGTAAATATCTTATTCAATTTAACGAATATTTTTAAACATATTTTTCCACATATTTTTTATAAACAAATCTTTAACTTTATTATATTATAATACATATTATAATGTTTCTTTTAAATTATAAAATGCTGTTAAATATTGTCAGATATTAGATATATAATAGATCAATCTATTTTTAAAAGAGAATGATTCAACGTTACAATTAATATTAAATCAGTTTTTATTAATATAATTTTGCAATTTACAAAATCTGCGTTCAATTCTTATATCTCCCATCTTTATCTTATTTCTATCACTTTATTTAAATATCGTTCAATTGCAGGATTCATCTTCCGATCATGCATCTAACCAAGAACGTTTCGGCTATTTCTCTTCTTTAAAAAACGTAAGTAAAATTTCTCTAAAGTAAATTTCTCTTGTTTTAATAATATGTAAAATTTATAATCAAAGGGAAAGAGTTTATATTACTTTATGAAGCATATAATCATCAAAAGAATTAATAATACGAGATGTAAGTTATTAAAATGTTTTGATTAACTTATCTTTCGCATTTTATCCTTTATATTGATTATTCATTAGATAAAGTTTGTTAATATACAGTATATCTATTAATATCATCTATGAATCCACGAATTGTTAAAAGTCATAATCACGTATTACAATAAAGCTTCTTTTTTTAAAGAAATTATTTTAGAATTATTTATTTGACAGACAAACAAATTTTTAGCAAAGATTTTTTTTATTTTTATACTTAAGTTCATATATTTACATTATATACAATTGGCAAACGAAATGTGTTTTGTAGCGCAACTAATATGTATTTATAAGTGACACATTTTGACAAATTAAATTATTGATTCTTAAAAAATAAACAAAATGGAAACATAAGACACTTTTGTGAGAAAGCAAATCTTAAAAGAGGTTTTGAATTTCGGTGTACGCGCAATTCGTGGTCGATAGAATTGCCGGGAACTTCGATGCTGTAGCGAGAGGGTTGATACTCGGTCTGTGTAAACAGGTAGTCCCTTCTATATCGTTACAATAACAATACACGTCGCACGAACCACTTTTGCTATCTAGCCGCAGTGTTATCCTGGCGCCTACGATCCAATAAGCACTCTGATATTCTTTTTCAAAAATATCTACACACGTGACAACAAATATTTTTCATATCGCACTAGTTTATTGTAGCAGAAACTGTTCTTCGAAGGAGAAAATGTGTGAGACTTTGAATTGGACATGCGTATTATATTTTGCTCAATCATTTTCGAAAGATGAATTAATAAAGTTATGACATTAATGTTTATATACAATTTAATTAGTCACAGTAAATAAAAATTTAAATTATAGAGAGTTTACAAAATTAAAATTTTCTTGGAGATCTTTTTATTATCATCAGAATTATTAATTATGAAAAATAGTGCATGAAATACTAAACAAATATGAAATATATAAAAATCATATGTTTCTATACAATTTAATTAGTAATAGTAAATAAAAATTTAAATTATAGAGAGTTTACAAAATTAAAATTTGCTTGGAGATCTTTTTATTATCATCAGAATTTTTAATTATGAAAAATAATGCATGAAATACTAAACAAATATAAAATATATAAAAATCATGTGTCGCTTAACATGAACACGAAAATGTTCAGGGAAAACGTATTTGCAGTCATTAATCGTGCAATTTATAGTAATATGATAAAGAAGGCGTGTACTTCGAAGTTTGTTTTAAAATATCCTCGAGGGGTACGAAAGATCGAGAAATGAAATAGGCAGCGGAGGTTACTCTAGAGGATGAGGTAAGCAATTAAGCATTGCCATCAGCCATTGTGTCTCGTTGTTTGTCTTCGAGGTGCCTATCAACTGCCCTCTATCTTCTTGCGCCGCGAATTATCTGCGTCCGTGATTTATTCATCACTCCAAGACGCAAGTGCCGTCTTCGCCCTTTTTTCCTTTCCTTTTTATTCTGGCCAACTAATTTGGCAGGAGTGAAATGTTCACTTCCCTGACGTTTAATAATAAACCGCCGATACCGTTTGATTCATAATTAATTGTTTTAATCTTTTAACCTTTGAGAGATATTTTGTGGAAAAATTATATGAGATTTGCTTGTAATTAATATAATATTTGTAAAATAAAAATAATCGTTTTTTTCTTTAGATTTTCTTAATGGATTATACGTATTAAATCGTTTGCTTTTTATAATAACAATTTGACAACAATGTTACAACAATATAATCATGAGTTTATATTGAATTGTCACTATATATGACATACTCGTATATATTTGGACAAAGCGAAATCTATTTATCTCTTTTTTTATTTCAGCATCAGCATCAACTTGCGGAACTCAATAAAAAACAATTGGAACAAGCGATGCAGCAACTGCAGGAACAGTTGCAGCTGAATTTATTTCAACAGACGCATTTATTGCAAACAGCAGACAAGAAAAAGGCATCGGCACCTCTCCAACAATTAGCGATCCAGCAACAGCAACTGATACAGCAACTGCAGATAACACAAAGGCAATATCTATTGCAACAAGGACTAAGCCTTCAAGGTCACAATCCTTCTTCAGGTATTTATACACTTAAATCCAAATGCTTGATTAAAGATTTCCTGATATTTAGTAGCCATATAGATTTAAACGTTAATATTAATAGAAAATATTGCAAGTAGATGAGACAATTATGATGAAAATATAATTTATTAAAAAATCATTAACACTCTTCAGAAATAGTAATAGAATTTTTGTAATATTGATAATCATATTATTATTTATATTATTATTATTTTCATTACATCTTGATCAGTAGCTGAACAAAAATATAAAATATTTAGAATAAAAATAAAATAATTACAATAAATTTTATTTTATATGAAATTTTATAAAAAAAAATTCTTAACAAAATTTAATGTTATTTAATGTTATTTAATGTTATTTAATGTTATTTAATGTTATTACATATTATATAAAAAATTATAAGCTAAAAAGCTGGTTGATTTTTTTCTTATTTTCCGATTAAGGAAAGATATTTGCAAAATTACAAAAACAGGAACAACTTTCTTAGAAATAATACTTACTGATAATTGTTTTAATGTCTTGCACTTGCTCAGCGTCAGTGTATTTCACAATCATAAGGAAGATGATGCTTCCAATGACACATGCTCATATTTACGATGAAGGGATGATACAAACGCATATTTTTAACTCGCATATCATTGCCACGCTTTTATATTCTAACACATATTATACATCATACAAATATAGGAGAATTTACATAAACATCACGATCGGTCACATGTCACAACAAAACACACGCATGTATTTGCAGCGACGTATAACACGCTACCGTGGGAGTCACGTGTGATCGGCAGCACGTGTGCAAAAAAGACGAATTCGAAGGTAAGCTCTGATGTTGGAGGCATCTCCTTGGTTTAAATTAAAAAACGATCCACTATTCTGTTAAAACCTTTTGAGCCTACGCATTTCTTTATCTCTTCCTCCTTTTTTCGATCTTGATGTCTCTTATTTCCTCTCTTCTGGTTCCATATTCTTACTGTCTTCCTTTCTTGCTTTCCACTTCACCCTGGGCAAAGCTTTCCACGTACAAGTGTTTCGATTACATCGGTACTCTTCCCGGCGATATTTTTCTTTCTAACACGTGTATAAATATATATATATATATATATATATATATATATATATATATTGTATATAAGTAAAATGTAGGAAGGACCGTTTGAAATAGCAATGTAATATGATGATTACTTCAAATTCGATAATTCACGTGTGAAACAAACTTGCCCATCATCCTTAACTTTTATTCCATTTAATGGTTTTGATTCGTTTCTTCATTTCTCAAATATAACTATCTATTTCTTCAGTCTCACCGCTCCATCTCGCATGTCCGTATTCTTACATTCCTTGTATGCCTCCTCGTCTGGCGCGTAGCTTCGTCTCTCGTTCGCATGTTTGCTTCACACGTGTTTGCTTCGAGATACGCGCCAAACATTATGTCATAAATATTATTTTTATACTCATTTAAATATCTAATGCAGCGTTCTTTAAGTCATAATCTGTGTGAGAGGAGATATTATTATATATTATATATTAAGAGAAATTAAATTTTCTTTCTCTTATAAAACTGATTGTAAAAATTTAACAATAAAAGTATCTCCACGTAAATTACAGTAAAAAAATATTGACTAATCTTTTCGTTTAATCAGTTTCTCAGATAGTTTTTTCTGAAATTTTAAGCAGGTTTGCCGCCAAGTGATAATTTATCATCATGGAAATCAGAGCCGTCGGATACCCCGGAATCCCACCAGAATTCCAGCGTGCCGAAGTCCAATTCCGGATTGAATGGTAAAAACAATAGTCTCATGCTTCTCAATTGGTCTCGATCTCGCTCGTTTTTTTACTCCAATTTCTCCTTGTTTATATGTTTTACTTTTGCGAATGCGACGTTCGTTTGCCGAACTATCGCAGGCATTCTGAATTCGATAGCTTCAAGCCGGCGATCCGAGGTAAATGGCACAACGCCAATGGATGAAAAGCCGCTGGACGCCTCCTGCAACGATAAAGTTCACCCCCTCTATGGCCATGGGGTTTGCAAGTGGCCAGGCTGTGAAGTAATTTGTGAAGACTATCAAGCATTCCTTAAGTGAGTTTTGCAAACTAATTTTTTCATAATCTGTTTTAATCGTATTCGTCGTCCGATTATTTTGCTCTGATGCAAATTCGATTTTTGGTCTAACTACCTTGCTGCAAATCTTTATCTCAGTGCAATATTAATATTTCTCATTAATACTATGAAGAAATTTATCTTAATTTATTTAAATGAATGAAACGGAAATATCTGTCACTTGTATTAAATCAAGTTAAAATCTTTTTATCGTGCATGATTTAATAAATCTTAGCGAGGCAAATTATTTCCAAGCAAATAGGTAAATGCGTGGAAGAAGCTCAATGCTTCGAATATAAAGGACTAAAGAACGGGAGGAATAAAGTCAGCAATTAAATTGGGAAGGATGGAACAAAGAAAGTGTAGAAAAATCGCTCGTGTCAGCGTATCTCATTGACATCAGACGCTTTTGCCCATCGGCCTCGAATCGCAACCGCGAACTCCATCCGTAGCTCCAGCCCGCCGGGGGATCTTTCGTAATCACGTAGTTCGTCGGTGCAAACTCCCTCAAACAAGCCGTTACTTAAAAAAAAAACGCTAATTACCTTTGTCTCATTAATATTCACGACATTCGACCGCATCGTTATGCCCCTCAGTCTAATCCCTTTCTGCCCCTCTCCCCTCCTCCTCCTCCCACCCGCTAGTTCGTCCGTTCAAGCTCCCTCGACCTTCCCGCATCTTCGTTCTTAACCGACCAACCCACTCCTCACCATTCCCCTCACCCTCGTCGATACAGCCGTCCGTTTCGTCGACGAAGAAGGATTACGGAAATTCTTAAATACGGAATCTTGTTGGCGGTGTTGGCACCCCCATCCCTGTCTCTACGACGCGGCGAAGCTTAATTTTCTGTCCTGCCGTCTCCTGGGGCGGTGAGGGAACGGGTCCCCGTTGTTGGAGGATGGAAGCGTTACGTGTCCGGGATTTTTCGTGGCTTTCTGATGAAAGAATTTGTTCGCAGTTCTTGTAAGATAATTGCGGCTATATCTTTATTGCTTTTCCGGCGTGATTTTCTCCATAAACATAAGCTGTGATAAACACAAAAATATAAAATTCTCAATAAAATATTAAATCCAAAATTAAATCCAAAATTAAATAAGTATTAAGATTATAGCTTTCAAATTAATATACAAATTTTCACTAGACGTGACATGAAATAAGGGAAATAAATTACGTTAAAATATAATATATCTTAAAGTAAAATTTATATGAAATATAAATGTAACGATACTTAATTTAATTTATTTATTTTAATTCAATTTTATATATGGTTTCACATCGCGATCGTGTCTCTTTTATCACTTAATTCAATTTAACAGAAAGGTTGATAGATGATTACGATTTTAAAATATTATAAGCATTTTTATGCTTTGTTATCTAATATTTAGTTCATATCTAACATTTTGATATTTACGATTGTATCAATTAAAAATGCAACTATTGAACACTAAGCTATAATTAATGATGAAATATTGCAGACACTTAAATACAGAACACACGTTGGATGACCGATCGACAGCGCAAGCCAGGGTCCAGATGCAAGTAGTATCACAGCTAGAAATTCAATTACAAAAAGAACGAGACCGATTAGGTGCTATGATGCATCATCTGCATATGGCAAAGCAGATGGCTTCTCCAGAACCACCAAAATCATCTGAATCATCGGTATGTTTTCTTTATATTATATTATATTATAATTTTATATTCGTAATTTATGCATATATATTGTATATATATATATGTGTGTGTGTGTGTGTGTGTGTGTAATACGTTTTCCCATTTATAATTATTTATTATAACATAATGAATAAATATATAATGATAATTATAACCCTTCTTCTGCAATAAATTTTTAAAAATATATTTGAAATTGAAATATAGTAAATTTTTCTTTAAAAAGAAAGAAAGAAGAAAAAAGAGAGAGAAATATTCAGTAATAAGTCTTCAACTTATGAAATTTCAAAATTCATGCGATTTTATTTTTCAAATATTGCTAACAAAAATATAAAAATATTGTCATATATTGTGCGTAATAATTTGTAAATATTGTTGTTGTATGTTTTCATAAACTTATACAAAATTTTTAAGAACAAATTAATTGTCATTGAGAGCTATAATAATTTTATTATTTGTTTTACCTCGAATTAAAAAACAATTATTGGTATTTAAAACAATACAAAATATCCATTTTAAGCCGCAATTATAATACTTAAGGATAAGTTTATAATGAGTATCGAAAGCCGAATCCGGAAAAACGATCCGACTGCGACGCGTAAACTTTTCCGACTGTGGCACCACTACAAGATCGTAAAGCCGAATTTTCACGACAGACCAGCTCGTTGAAAGATTTTACGATCTCCTCGCGGCCCGCTAACAACAACGCGAGTTTCAGTTTTAACGCGCCGCCGAGTCGAGTGCTAATTTATACATAAAGTTTGCATTAATAATTCATCGGAGCCGCGGTGATTTTATATCGCCTTAATTAAAACCCCTAACAAGTTGGGCAGTCGGAGAATACCAATATCGCATTAGCCCTCCGCCAGCGACAACGCCCGACAGCCGACGGTTTAATTATTTTAACGCGGTTGTGTGAGTGATAGCGCTACGAAGATCGGATTGCTACGGTTCATTATACATCCTAAAAGTTTGTACATTATTGCGATATGTAATAAGATATTCGCATTGCATTACGTAACGCTTTGGGTATGTGCATTACCATAAAATTTCTGAAAAAAGATTTCAAATATATAAAATGCCGTTTATAAGATCGTGTTCAAAGTTTCTTCATGAAATTTTGAATTTTTCTGAATTTATTTGAAAAAATAATTTTGCATACAAATATATATTATTAATAAATATATATTATTAAAGAATTTATATTTTCTTTATAATAAATATATACATATTTGAACTATATATATATATATATATATATATATATATATATATATATATAATTGAATGAAGATTTAAATTATCTGCGGATCAATTATCGAGAAGATATCCGTGATCCTCAAAACGATTAAATTCCCATATGTTGTTTATACTGATATTCCAGCTACGTCTATTTTGTTTTTCATTTTGTAAACTTTATTTCAGACGGGCTCGAATTTACCAAAGCTGAATTTTTCCACTGCGCTAATGAGCCAGCCGCCACCTAACTTCGGGGTCTCTCAGGTATCACCGGTGTCCATGTCCGCTCTAGTGTCCGCCGTGAGGTCACCTGGCGGTGGTCAACTACCCCCATCGGCCGGCGGTGCTCCGATACCGCCACTTCCGTCTATACCTAACATGTCCGGTTTACCGCCGATGCCCAATATGCCCGGTAGCATGCCAAGCATGGCTGGTCCAATTAGACGGCGCATCAGCGACAAATCAGCTCTTTCTCTGGCAGGAGGTAAGGTCGTCTTTTCTTCTCTTAATCTTCAACGATGCCGTCTAAGAGGTGAGATAGAGATAGAATCGAATAATCAGGTTTAATAGGGCTCACAGATAATAGGAATATATTTTGCGTTACCAATCTTGTTCTATCAAAATCAATTTTGCAAAAGCTCTTCCGTTTTACCTGTTTCAAGGAAAATAGTTGATTACAAAATATCTCCTTATTAATGAGAGGACAAAATTTACACGTAACTAATATGTTTAAATATTAACGGATAATATATAGTACATTTTATTAACCGTTTATATATTAGTAATAAAAATTGGTAATCAAGCTTTTTAAAAAAATGCGAATTTTGAAAAAGAATGAGTTTATCTAATGCTTTATTAATTAAACTTTCAAATTCAGTTAATAAATAATATGTATATAGAGGGAGACAAATATATAATATATAAATATTACACTTTTCTCTGAATTTTCTATTAAATAATATCATTGATTAATATAATATATATTTGCGAAGTGTACTTAAATACATAATTATGTTAAATATATAATTATATTGGTTATTAAATAGAATTTAGTAATATTAATACATTCTTAATTAATTAATTTTTTTAATATAATGTTTTGTTGTACGGTTCTATTTATAGGTACGTATTATATATTGCAGTCGTATCATACACTGCAAATATAATTTCTAGTTAAAGTATTTTTGATATAACCATTTTCCGAACGAATAGCTTTATATTTGAAATGCATACAATATAAGAGACCTTGGAAGTGGATTAATATCGTCTCAAAGAAAGGTGAAACGAAAGAAATGACAATTCAGAAATTGAATACTATCCGTAGGACTGTATGACGAGGGCACTGTAAGGCGCAGAGTATCCGTCGATAGATCTGGATTAGATATTAACGAAGGTAACGATTACACAAGATCATACTCGGAGTGATGCGAGCTTCGAAATACTGTTTCGTGAAAAGTTTCTCTCTTTCATAATATATAAAACTCTTATTAAATTATTAATAAGAGATATATTTCTAAAAATATATTATACAAACATGTATTTAGCAAACAAAGATCATATTATTATGGTATTTAAATATATAAATAATTAATAAGTATTATTAAATCGAGAAAAACATGAAATATAAAAAGAAAAATACAATACTATATGTTGAGAACATTTCTTAATTTTTTATTGTGTAAATAATTCTATAAGAAATTCTACAAGATTTTTTAATTCTACGCATAATAAATTAATTACATAAATTACCTACTTTTGGTACTTCGAGGTTCGTCGCAGATTCAATCTCACTCCGACGAAATAAAAAAAAATACCGATCCTGTAGCAAGTGCTCTTTACGGTCCTCTCTTGGTCTCGTACCTTTTCCTGTCGTAAATTGTACCACACGCACAGATTACTTATGGTAGCGACTGTGTCACGTGATGCGACAGTGTTCGACACCTTGTTGGCGACGTAGGATGAGTATAGGGTATAGAGAGAGATGCAAGGAATTTTATGCGATGAAAAAAAAAATGAGATATAAGATGAAAAATAAATTTTTACATCTGCCAGTTCGAACCTCTTTCTTATCAATGCTTTTGTTGTTTCCTTATTTCTTGTGCTGCCCGCCCTCCCCACCGTGTAGGGCTGCCCTACATGCTGGAGCGTGCTGGCCTTGACGTCCAACAAGGTACTGTCAACCTACTTTCCACGTTCCCTTTTGTGGCTTAGAGATTTTCTTGTGGAAGGATGTGCATCCTGCATGAAAGCTCACTTCCCTTCCTTATCTTCATCTTTGCATCTCCGTAGCACCGCATTTTTCTAATTTTGCTGATAATTCTTAAAATTGAGATTGTGAATATTCCAAAATCCCATGCAAATATTTGGGACTGGATAAATTTATCGATCGTAGTTTATAATTTTTCAATTGCTTTTTCTTTTACATGCGAAAAAGGCGATCCATATATTTCCGCCATTTCTATTTCCCGCAAATATACAAATTTAAATTTTCTTATTAATGTAAATTTTAATATGAAAATAGAAATTAATATAATTAATACAATTAATATAATTGTATATTGAAAAAATTATGGAAAGCATTTGGATTACCTTTTTCTGACATTATGTAAAATTTTTTTCTTTGTAAAAGCATGCATTTATAGATATTTTTACAATTTTAAAAGTTATTATTTTATAAAAATATCTCATTTCTTATTAATATCAATATATTTCATGTTCAATTTTAAATTGATTTGATCATTATTCGTTATTTTAGATTCTCTCTAGAAATCCATTGCTAAAAAAAATTAAAAATTATATTCAGTAAAGCAATTTATATATATGAAAAAAATACATGATTCTTGCAATTTAGTTTAGCGATTAAGAGATTTTTATCATAATTTTATATGACCAGCATAACAGCTTTGCTTGTTTGTTATAATTCCATTGTTCAAATCTTTTTGCGCAAAGAAAAAATCATGATACAATTACTTGTTATTGATAATAAGAATATTAGTTCTCCAAAAATTTTAATAATATGTAGGATAAATGAAATTTGTTGCATCCGGTTTCAGAAATTCAACGAAATAGGGAATTCTACAAGAATGCAGACGTCAGACCACCGTTCACGTATGCATCCTTAATTCGGCAGGTGAGTGGCTAATAAAATTACTAAAGGATCCAACGAATATCACATTTTCCCATCACATTGTATTAACATTGCTGGAATTATACGGGATCTCCTCTAACAAAAATAAAATTAATGCACATATTGTCATTATAATATAATAATATTTCTTAATATATATTAATATATATTTTTAATATATTTCTTAAATATATATTAATAATTAATTTCAAATTTTTTATCGCTAGTCTTAATATTATTATAATTTAATAAAATTTTATGCTAAAAATTATTATGCTTTGTAATTATCTAAATGCGATAAAATTTATTTTATTATTTATTAATTTGATTTATTATATTTTATTAGAGAATTATAATTTTGTACAAATTATTATATATTGAATACTGAGACAAAAATTGTATAGATAAAATTATTGCATGAACAAAAAATTCCTATTTTATTTTAATATCTTATGTGAAATTTACTTTCGTTAAAAATAGAAGAAGTTGATATAATTCTAATGTTGATCTTTTCATAGTCCATCATTGAATCTCCCGAGAAGCAACTGACGCTCAACGAAATTTACAACTGGTTCCAAAATACATTCTGCTACTTCCGGCGCAACGCAGCAACGTGGAAGGTATATCTTATAATTTTAATAATTTAATTATACAATCATCTTAAAATGAAAAAAAGCTATAAGCAGATGAGTAATAATTTTTTATTTCATGAAATTTAAAATATATTTTTTATTATGATTTTAATTTTTAATGTTTATAGTAATTAATTTATAAAAGGTATGATACATATCTCAGTAAAAAAATTCTTTTTTTAGTTTACTTTTAGCAATTTTAGTATTTTCCATTAATATATATATACAAATAGAGATTTATAAAATAATCTTTTAATAGAGAGCGAAAAAGTGGAAATAATTCTTCTTTAACTGGATGCATTCAATGTGAATCTACTTGTGCAAAAGGAATTGCAAGAGTAAAATGATTTGTATTTTGCGAGCTGGTTAAGCTGGACGCTTAACTAGAAGGAGTATGAACTATCCAAGATCTCGGATAATTATATGTATTGATTTGAATTAACAGGCTAAATGACGAACCGGGCAGAGCAGTTGGTAATAATAGTGTGTTGCTTTCTTGAATAAAGAGAAGAACTGGTAACATGTGAAATATGATATATTACTAGTCATTTATGAGCCATCTATCATTATATTCTTCTCTATTTTTCTTCCTTTACAGACTTGATAGCACATTACGTATCAAAATAACAGTAATAGAGTTTAAATTAATAATACACATAATTCATTATCAAAAAATTCTTATATGTAAATTATTGCATTAATAATCTTTATAGATATATATTGTTGATAATTATTGCTTTAATAATCTTTATAGATATATATTGTCAATTTATTTCATTGTTAGAAATAAATTGCTGTTAACGTAATCTGGAAAAATGCGTATAAAATTTATAGAATACTTACAGAATTAATATACTTGTGCAGATATATCTCATGAATTGTTTAATTTTGACACAGGAAAGGGATATTTCGAAAATAATTATAACAGAGATGATAAATATATAATTATTTATTTAATCCGAATTTAAACGAATCGACAAAATAAAATTGTCGAATGCAGATCAATTAAAATTCCACACTTTTTGGACAAACAACAGAATATAACGTGCCGATGGTTCATGATTGATTTGTAAGCCGACGTGACAATTCGCTTGTTGGCAAGAATGTTTGCGCGCGTGCGTTTTTCTTTGCGTGTGCGTGAGTGCGCGTGAAAGTAATTGACGTTTGCCATGACGCTTCGCCTCGCATGGTTATGTGTACATGAAGACATAAAGATGCAAAAGCAGGTTTACCAGGTGGAGAGCAGAGCAGAGCCTGGAGCGAGATCTGCACCGATGACGACATCTTGGCGGCTATATCGTCAGCGGGCAGCCCCGTTGAATTTTATTCGGCCCTGTGGCATGAATAATTGTTGTCGTTGCCCCTAGATTTAGATGACTAGCTGTGCATTAACGATAAAGGAATGCCACAAATCGTATCTCTTCTGATTAATCATTTTGGTTCGTTATATCCTCGTGCGGGCTTCAACGTCGCGATCTCATTGCCAATTTCCTTCTATGCTAACAGCGCTCATCATCATCATCATCATTGACATCATCATCGTCGTCGTCATTGTTTTTATCGTTAGCAAATATCGCGTTATAATTATTATAATTATTATTGATTAGACTTTCTGTATTTATTGTATTATTGTTTTATGTATGTCACACGCATTTCCGTCCTCGTTGGCTGCCACCTGAAAGAAAAATACTTGCCCGAGTCTTGTGAAATAATATAACTAGTGATTTTGAATAATAGCATTTATAGATACATGAATAAAATGCAATATTATTACTTATATAATGATATGCATTGCTTACACTTATCATTTATACATTAGTTGTATTATTATTTTTATTTGCTTAGTGCTGCTATTTTATATTTATTCTGGGAAAGAATTTTTTTAAGAATGCCGAATATTTATTAAGTTGCATAATATTATTTTTGGAAAAAGCCATGTAATGCTATTCCGAAAAAAGTAAAACAAATAGCAGCATAAAATATAGCAGCATTTAGTTTGTCACGCAAATTTCAGTTTAAGGTGGCAGCTTTGCTTACATTCCTCAAGGGTGTTGAGTGGCCATTGCATCCATTTTTGAAGACAAAATAAGGCAACTATTAAAATAATTCTTATATTATAAAAATTAAAGATAGAAATATTCTTATGAACCTATTATGTAATATAAATGAAAATATCTTATTTATAAGCAAAATAGAGAAACGTTTTAAAAAAAAATAACATTTCTTGTCTAATACATCTTATTTCTTAAATATGTATGATGTAAAGTATAATTTATTTATACAAAATTATCTGTTTATAAATATATTTTAAACATGTATTTCTAGCATATCCTCAAAGATGGTTGCCATGAATTCTCAAGAACAGCGTTGTGTTGCATAGATCTATTTAAATCTAATTATTTATAAAGATTTCAATTACAATTTAAAAGAGAAAAATATAAAATGTAGATCTTTCCCGAGATTATGAAACTGATAGTAAAACTAAAAAACGATTTTTTTGTGGAAAAAAATAAAAATATTATTTCTTACATTATACTTTTATTAATGTCTTGGATAAATAAATTTTACCAGTGCGATATTAAAAAATACATTATGTTTGTATTTTTATTGATAACACAAAAGTTTTATTAAAATTATAATGTTATGAAAACATTGATACTTATATTTATATCTCGTTATATAAAAGATTTCTAAAAAAAACGAAAAATTCATAATATATATATATTTAATATCAAGTTTTCCTATAGATATTAATTTAAGACATGCTACAATAATAGCAGAAAAGATTAAAAGATAAGTTTTAATTTCAAAATTCACACCATACATTATGTATTCGCATAAACTATTTTGTGCTTGAGCACTCGACGAGATCATTCGCAACGCTGCTCGTTGACACCTTGGCACCTTGACAAATCATACGGCACACGCACAATATCGCACGTTCTCACTTAGCGTCTCTCTACCTCGTGTCTCACGATCATCATCCATCCTTGCCTCATCAGCGTGGCCAGTCATCGTCACCCGATGTCAAGGACTCTCCATCACCTGCGTAACACAAAGCCACCACACATGCATACGCGCTCCACGATCCGTCACGAACGGCCGTGATCCTTGTGTCCCCTCCCCCCCCCCGCCGCCGATCTACCGGGGCCGTGATTGAGTTGGCTTCGTTCGTTTTTTGCGTTGCTTATTTAGTCTGTGTATTATTTTGTATAGAACGCAGTGCGACACAACCTGTCTCTCCACAAATGTTTCATGCGAGTCGAAAACGTGAAAGGGGCCGTATGGACGGTGGACGAAGTGGAGTTTTACAAGAGACGGCCACAGCGCGCTTGCAGCACGACCGGGTACGTTGCCCCTCCCCATGCTCCATCGATCAGAAAAAAAATATAATTACAACCGCGCTTTTTACTCTCTCTCTCTTTATTCTCTCTCTCTCTCACTCTCTCTCTTTCTATCTCTATTACACCAATATTTCTTACCACTCTTGGAGACCGACGGACTGAAACCTACCCTTTGCTTCCCGTTCTCTTTCCTCCCCCTATCCCGATATATCGGAGGATATATAGTCTCTTTCAGAGTACAAACTTCCTTTCAACTGTCTCTCTCCTACATTTCCCTTTATATCTATATTACTCTCTCTCTCTCTCTCTCTTTCTCTCTCTTTCTGCCTTTTTACATATATTTATATATATATGTATATATACTCACTTATTCGCTTTTACTCTTCTTATATTTATAGTCATACCGTCATCCCCCAGCCCCTTAAACCGCCCATTTTTCTACAATTTTATATCATATATTTATATAACTTTTTACATACTTTTTACATATTTTTATATCGATATTTATACATATACATATGTTTATATATACATTAAGAGTATTTAATATTTCATCTTATATATATAGCTCTTTTCATATATATATATGTATTTTTAATATATATCTGTTTTATATATATATATTATATATATATTTCTATAAGCGATTTGAAGGTGGACGCACATTCAGTGCGTTTGCGGCCTTCGTATGTATGTATACGCACATACACGCACGCTCTCCTGTGCATTTCTCTCTCTTTCTCTTTTTTTAATCATATAAGATATATTTGATCGTTTTCTCACGATATTCTACGTCGTGTTTTCCCTATTTTTACATTTCTCTTCATATAGTATATACTGTACCTGTTTGTACTTGATACGTGCGCATTCATACGTATTGATCTGTGTGTGTATAAACCTTTTTATACACCTAAACGCCATAACAATTTTTAATGTACGTCGCTTATGTCTGTCTGTTTGCCGCTAATATTTATAGTTTCTCGAGGTGTAATGCTCCTGTAATCGATAAATAACAGCTATCATATTTATTTTTATGGCATTAATATGTTTATCATATCTTTGAATTTCGTTCTAATCGAATAATAGACGGAAATGAGTTGGAAAATTTATATTTTAATAAATAAATTTATCCACGCGCATTTATAATACACATGCTGATGAATATACTCGAGAAACTATCACTGTGTTTGAACCCGCGTGTGTGTGAACTTCTTACTTGCCCGTCGTCGTGTGATGGTAGTCGGCAGTTTGATGGGTGCGTGGATGTGCGTGAGAGTGCGTCGTCGATGAAAGAGCCGCAACAGATGAAAGGGAAAAAAAGAAAAGAAAAAAAAAGATAGGAAGAGAGTTTAGAGATTAGAGCTAATCTCATTCTCGGAGATGGGAATCCAGTAGTATGTCGTGTGTGCTTTCATAACGAGCATGTGAGCTTTGCAGCAACTAACCCAGATCGAGAACGGCAGGGTCAAAGTATCTGGCCCAAGTCTAGTCTCGAAAGCCCGGAAGCCCGGAAGCGGAATTGCCCGGAACAGAGTGAGAACCGCAGTGTTGCACTTTGTCAGGTAGTGAGAGGAGCTGCCTTACTACATTATTACTACGTCTCTGTTTTATTTTCTTTGATTTATCCATCCCTTCTTTGCGAATCTGTGCTGCTGTTTGTTCTTTCTAAAAGTCGACTCGAGATCATTCATGTGTCCCGGCAACACGATAGAGCGATGGAGTTGCCGGCGCGAAAGACGCGCCGGCGTTAAAATGGTGCGTCCAGACCCCCGTGAACACTGAACACGATGGCAAGCGAATAACCGGGGCACGCACATACGTGAGGCCCCCCTTCTGTTACGAAGAGTAGCGAACGGCGATGGGGGTCGAGCGCAAATTAAGAAAGAAAAAAAAAGCGAAAATGTGCGCGCAATCAACTGCAAAAAAAAACCAGAAACCTTGTCTTTTTTACTCTCTTTTTCTCTATTTCTTGGTGGTCTTGTCTGTGTATACAGAACGCGATCCGCACCAATCTATCATTGCACAAGTGTTTTGTGCGCTATGAGGACGACTTCGGGTCATTCTGGATGGTGGACGACGCCGAGTTCGTAAAGCGGCGGCATCTGTCCCGCGGCCGCCCCAGGAAATATGACCCAACCCCATCACCCACTCCACCCCACCTCTCCGCACAGTAAGCACTACCACTTTTTAGAATTCTGCTGGCTGGCTGGCGCGACGTTCTGACCTTACCGCGGTACTTTTTTATGAAACGCGGCGACCGGGACGTTTTCGCTTGGTCGTTGTCTACAAATTGAACCGCTAAACGAGCTTTCCTACCTGCTGCCTTTTAAAGCCTTGCGCGCGCACTTGATGTAAAATTGTGCATGGTTGCAGCTGTTACGCTGATGTTTCGTTCTATCTTTTGAAGCATAAAATAATCACAAAATGTCGTGTTAAATAATCTTAAAAAAAGTTTTCAACTAGTAAATCTATTCCATAACATCAGCAGTATCATCATTGCTATATAAGTTAAATCTAAGTTAAATCTTCTAATGAAAAAGTTTGTGTTATATGATCAACTAGAATATAACGATGTTTATTATAAAAGAATTTCAAATTTCATAAAATATATTATTATTTTTATGTATATATAATTTGCTTAATATTAGTTTAATTTATAAAGACAGATAAATACGTATTTTAGCCCAACATTAATGTATTTTGTCTTTATAGAAATTTGAATTGTAACACTAGTACTAATATTTCATGCATTAAAAAGAACAATTTTTTAAATGAAATCTTTATTTCAAATTATCCATTACGATGCTAACAGCTGCAATGATAAATGATGTGGTAATTAAATATTTATTTTTTTGATTAGCTAAATTTTATACTACCAGGGTTAAAATATCTCTTTCTCTCTCTTTCATTTTTAATAAATTTTTTTTTATTTCTAAATTATATTGTGATATTAATTAAAATACTTATTGCATCAAGGCAGCAGGAAGTAGCTCTATGCAGTTTATCCAATCCCTCTGGAAATGATTTCCGCATTATGCCTGCCTCAAGCGCCTTTAAAGACCGATTCCTTAAAAAATTCGACTAGTATCATACCATTATTACCTTGCCTGTTTATTTGTCAAAAGTGTACAATGTTATTCTGATTTTCGATTACACACATATATTCACTCTTAATAATATGAACTTAATGATAATTATATAACTACGAAAAATAAAATTGTATATACAGCTTATTTTATATAATTATATAGATTTATTTTCCATGAGAATATATTTTCTTTCATTATATTTGCGATTATTTTTTTATATTCTTTTTAAAAATTTGTTTAATTATAACTATTACGCATATTGTATGTGCTAAATACAAACTAAATTTTCTATAAGATTGAGATTTATAAAATCAATTAAAGAAAAGTTTGCTACATATTTAAGTATTAATATATGTGTGTGTAAACGATATGTTCTAAAATTTATATACCTAATATACATGTCAAATTATAGTCAACTTTAAATAAAAAATATCTAAATATTTTGTTTTGTCTCAAACTACTAACAAATTTTACGAATTAATATTTAAAGACATAGAGATCATAAACTTAATTTTTATTGAGTTTTAAATAAATTTGAAAACACGTAGAAAAAATGTTATTATTTGTTTAGCTTAATTAGTAAAATAGTTTAAGTTTAATAAAATTCAGAAGGGAGAAGATATTTAGTCAAATATTTTCTAATGAAAAATCAGTTTTAATTTGGTGAAAAAATTATAATTAGAAAAAAGTGCTTAACTTTATTTTCTGTAAAAATCATGTGCACTTTTGCAAATGACGCTCAAGGTTCATAGGACATTCCCGTATACGTTACTAGTATTGTAGCCTAAAGATTCTTGCACTTCGTGATAGCTTGAATCCTGCACGGTCCTGCAACACACCAACATCAGGACGATTGGTCAGAGATGCGGGATCTCCAATGTATTAATAGCCGCTTGCATGGATTACCACGAATCCTTAACATTCGTTTCCCGATGAAGCCCTCTAAAACTGTCCCTTCTAGTTTGAAAACACTGCTTATAAACGTATGATGCTTAATGTGATGCTGTTCGTAATATCTCGTGTGAAAGCGGTGTGTTTGTGCGGGCAAGCGTTCTTTTGTGTTGAAGTTTTGCTCTTTCGTTTCCATCTTTGTTCTGTCCTCTCATAATAGCAGAGAATTATTTTTCTCTCCTTTTGTGAGCATATAGCTGCCATGACGTTAATAGACGTTTGTAGTCTCTTAAGTTCATCATTTTTTTCATCGATTTCTATAGAATATCGTAATAACATCCTGGTTTTGTTTCTTCAATTTTTATCGATGCGATTTCCTTTGCAATCCGTTGCAATTCTCAACTAATATGCTGCTTTAGAATTATATGTCAACGCTTATTAGATGCACGCCTAAAAGTTTTTTCAATTTTAGCTTTTAATTTGCTATAATTACCTCATTAAAGGCTTCTTTCATGTGATGGTTAATTATATTTAAAAATAGATGTGTTAGAAGGCTTTGGACAAAGCAATTTCAGCAAATATATAATTAACATTAAAAAAAGTACAATATTTTCTCAAATATAAAATATTCGTATATGATGAAATCTTATAAAATGTTTTAATAATTTATTGTTAAATATCAAATAGATAAAAAGATGAGATAAAGTTGAGAATTGCAAGATTTTAGCATCTTACATTATGCTTCCGCAATGAGCGAATGGTTCTTGATCTGAGTGAATATATACATGTCAAGCTATTCGCGCATGTGTAAATTTTGTGTGTATACTGTGCGTTAAACAACTACATTCCTCGAGTGGAATTCTTCAGTCTTCATCATTCGGCTCGTCTTGTTCCACAGGTATTATATATGGGCTTAATATAATCTCAGTAATATTTATAATATAATCATAATTCTTCAAATATATTTATTGTTCAACTTTAATACTTTTTGAAATTTTATCTATTCTTATATTCAAAAAATCTCTTTTTAAATTCTCTCTCTCTCTCTCTCTCTCTCTCTCTCTTTCTCTTTCTCTCTTTTTCCAAAACTTTCCTTCTCTTTCTATCTCTATCTTCACGATCTCTTTTCTATCTATTCAGCGTTCCATGTTACTTGATAAACGGTCACAGGAAATATTTTTTCTTATCTTTTTCTTCGCATGCATTTTTAAATCTCTCGGAACAAGATCTCTCTGATGGTGTACTAAAAAACTGGGTATACGTATTTATCCAGTTTTTCATGGTTTAACTACTCACAAGAGATGATTTGAAAAAGATGTTTTTTTTACGAAACGTCAGAAAGAAACATTAATCAACGATCTTAATTGAATAAAGTATTTTTGCTACACGATTTTGCGAGATGGCAAAAAACGAAAGGTAAGCACAGGTAACCTAGTGGCCGTTTATAAGCAGAACTTGTTTCGAAACTGATATAATGCTACGTTAAAAATGAAAGGAGAGAAAAGTCGATAATTAATTATGAAGTTTCGAAACGGGAGCGCTTTTTTTTAAACACTCTTTCTGTAATTTTTATCTAATCTCACTCAATCACCAATGAGTCGAACTGGTGGGCAAATAATATGGAAGGCACTGTGTAAATAGGTAAGAGTTTTTAAACTCTAAATATTTTTGCTCTTTTTAATCTCTCTTTTTGATATATATTATATGTATACATTTTTCATATTTATATAATTCTCTTTGTCTCTCTTCTCTTCTACTTTACATCTTTTTCTCTCTTTCTCTATCTATCTCTCTATCTTCTTCCTTTTTGTCTTTATACGTCTTACATATCTACGACTTCAGTACACGCACATACACATGATCACCATATACAACCTACTTTGATTCTCCTCTCATTTTCAAATCCGTCTTAACATTGACACAATTAAAAAAAGAAAACACACGCGTTTTGTTTCAGGAAATACTCTCATAGTTGAATTTCGAATATTATTAACATATTTTTCTCTGTCAATATCTAGGGGTGTCCCGTCGAAGAGTCCAACTCTAACGCACAGTCCTACTATGTATGGTGATGCGCTTAACGCCAACCTGCAGGTAACTATTAATAATTAATTTATGGAATGCGAAAATTTTCTCTCATACATTTCCACGATTTTTTTCTTAATTAAGTGATTTGAAATATCTTAAAACAATATTGTGTCTAAAATAAATAATATTGAAAAATATTGTTTATTAAATCAATGGCATTTATTTGAATAGACTAGATGACATTTCACAAATTTTCGCATTCTCTATCAATTCTTTTAATAAATTACATTAATTAAAAATTTTACTTATTATAGTAGAAATTGATACATGATAAATGCATTAATTAATAATAAATATTACTAATTTCTAAATAATTAGTTCGTTAGATGGTATTGAGTCAGTAATAACTAACCATCTAATGCAATTTGAGTATTTTCAGGCGCTCGGGGAATCTAATATGGGTTTTTTGAACAATCCAATGTGCACGTCGACAGCGACAAGTCCCGATAAGGAACATGTGTTACCTCATAATGATTTAATGTAAGTGACATTTATTCAAATGTTCACTCGTTCATCTTTTTCTTTAAATATTTATACGATATATATTTCATCAAATATTATAAAAAGTGTTAAAGTCTCTATATTCTTACAAATACCTGTATTTCTATATTTGAGGAACATTATTTTAGCTTATAACAATATTGCCAACGTGTCTAGAATTTTTTATTTATTCAGCATCGTGCATTTTTCGTTTTTATTCGCGGATATATTCACGAGCGGTTTGTACGTATTCTGTACGAATTTCTATCGCACGCGGTGTAGAAATCGTGAAAAAGCCCCCTGTTTTCGTGACTCTTTCGCGAAACGCAAACTATTCGTTGCAGCTTGACAAACCGCTTGAAACCGCGACAATGAAACAATCCGGAAAAAAACGAAATCGTTTTTTTCCCGTCAGCGTGGCGCGGGAAACATGTCGCTAAAAAAATAAATCGCTAGGCGTGTATATCGCGTCGCGCTTTATGAAATATATACGTCAATACTGGCACGCGGCACCCACAAGTTTTCCACTCATAAGCGTACACAACGCGTTCGCGCGTGTCGTCGATTCAACAGGTCGCCGCTGGATGAACCGGCCATGCACATAAAACAGGAGAGCCAGAGCCCGGAAGGAGGAAAGCACACGAGATTAATAAAGCGCGAGCTACCGGACGGTCCCATGGAGCAGGAGACGGAGGAGGATCAGACGGACGACAGAGAATACTCGGAGAGCCACGGCCACGATTCCGGCCAGGACGAGGACATGGCCGAGGACCTGTCGATGGCGCCCGACATAATGATCCCGGAGGATCAGGTCGAGGCGTAGTATCGCTTCGCCGCGACAAGCCAGTAGACACGAGATGTATACAAGGTGTCCCGTTTATTCGGTCGTGAGAGGAGTTATGCTCTACCCTCTTTGGGGCTAGAGCAGAGTAAAGACGGTAGGCAGAGGGAAAAAGAAAGAGGGAAAGGATGAGAAGCAGAGAATAACGGAAGCAGAGGGTCGAAGAGGACGATGAAGGCGCCCCAGGACCACCCACCCCCTCCACTTCTCCTTCGTACGAATCCCCCTCAACGTATCATATCTGTACCGCGACACCCCAATCGCGGCTTTAAGGTAACGAAAAGGAGCCAAGCGCGAATGTGTTGAGAAAAAGACACTGAACGATGACGACGGTGACGAGCGTATTTCCGGATGATGTATGTAATCGCGAAAATCTCGGCGATATTCGGGAAGCGATCTTTCGATCCATATCTTTACTCAAGCAATTGCGAACAACGATGTATTTTATTTTCCTCTCGATCTTTTCCGTTCCGGAGCCGCGGTTATATCTCTAATAGACATATACATAAATATATACATATATATACATATATATATATCTCGTGTACATTGCATTAGAAATTAATGTGACGACAGTGGGGCACTGACCTGGGGGACCGCCTTGCGATCGGCGAGCGTCCCCGAGAAATGCGACGGGAATTATTCTTCGCCGGAGGAACCGATGTAGCCTCGCGATCATACATTTATACATGTCGGTATGCGTGCATAGATAAAACTCGAATACAGTGATCGCAATGTATCAAATCTTGAACCTCTTTTTTGTATTATGTTGAAATACATCGAACTGGTAGTCAGAAAAATTTTGTTACGAAATATTACACACGTGTTATATGTGAAAAAGTTTCTTTATGTAATATGTCATGACGTTAAATTGAGAAGTTAACTACGTATTAATACGATACTTATATCGTATATACAGATTATGTTTTTACATTTTGAAAAAGTAAGATCGTTTTTTATTTTGATTATGATTGATTAAAAAAAAATAATTTAAAAATCTTTCCACGAGAACACTGCAAATTGTTTGATGCGAGAGACAATGCGCTATGCTTATCTATTTAATGAGTCCAGATTGGAGAAAGGAAGAAAAATTTTTCGATAAATAAGAAACGATGAGAATCCCCAGGAAGCATCGCGCGGTTCCATCGGAGAAGCGAGTCGATCAGAGAGTCCAACGGGATTGAACTAGGAAATAAATCGATGAAGCCGTGGTGGTGGTGGTGGTGGTGGGTACGTTCGGGAGCGACTGAGTTTAGTCTTTAAGTTTAGACGTTCGTTTCCGACGAACGAAGAGCAATGCTAGCACTATTCTCGCAACTAAGCGGGTCCTACCGTCTCGAAGAGGCCCAGTATCAGACAAGTTAAACTAAGAATCGCATCCGAGCGACGAGACCGGATGCGTCCCGGCGTACCCGTCCGCTACTGTTGGTAGCACTCTGTATAGTCTAGCAAAGTTGATCGTAAGTAGTTTCGTATTCATTAAACGGTAATTAATTGCAGGTCGAGACGGTCGAGATATTTGTAAATGGGCGCTACGATACACGACACACGCGCGCGCGCGACGATCTTTCAAATTACTTTCCGATCGAGCCGATCAGGAATCCGTGATGCAGAACGATAGACATGATAGATGAACGTAGCTCTGCGAGACGATCGAAGAATGTTACGAACGGGGATAAGTGGGAAGATCGCTAACGCGACGTTTTATATTTACATACACGTATTACATTATATATATATATGGCAAATAAAATTTCAAATTTTACGCAAGGCATTAGCAGTTTTTTGTACGATATATTTAACTTTGCCGTTTCCATATATAAGGTATAAGATAGACTCAGCACCCCGTGGCGAGATGGTGCTTTTCGAGTTTCCAACGCATTGAAAGCTAGTATTTCAACGTTTTGGATAATTAACATAAAATTTCGAACTGTTAGGTATTGCGCGTTCAAGAAGATTATATTAGAGTTATTAGCACTTCCTTCTGTGATACGTGATGAATATAGTAAGACCTCTATATTTAATTATACACATATATAAATATATAATTAAGGGACTTATATATATATACGTTACAAGTCGTTTTTGGTTGCTAAGTCTATTGTATATCAATATAATTATCGATCAATTACAGGCAATTGATGTGTGCCACACGCTATTGAGATATGTATGACAAAATATTACATTAAAAAAAATGCTAAGGTATCACGTTAATGATCTCCCTACTTCTCTAAACGCGAAGTCTATAAATAAAGTACGCTATGTATGCATATATACATATATTATTACGTATACGTATCGAAATTATAAGAAATTAGATGTCGATGATCCTCTCCATCAAACTTTTTCCCCATCCTCGTCCAATCCTAATCCAATTAATATACATGCCGATCGAGGCCAGTAGATTCCTTCTAAAGAGTGCGTGGTCTCGAATCCCAAAAACAAGACATAGATGAAGCGCGCTCATATCGGTACTAATATTTTGAATTGTTCAGAATCTATCGGTAACACGGACAATTCAAATCTGTCTTAAGGAATTAGTGTATTTTTCATTTTGGTCTTCATATGTGTTTAACGATAAATGTTTGTCAAATTTAGAAGTTGTTTTAGTTGCCATCGTAAAGCACTTACGTCATTTTTGCACAGTGACTGATGGAGAAGGAAAATATAATTATATATTTTATTAGATCATAACGAGACGGTTATGTGCAATCTGGAAAATTATTACTTGCACAAATTGAGAAAATAACGCAAAGTTACATTTTGTGCCACAGAATGTTTAATTTCAAGTTAAATAGCGTAATTTTTTGCTGCGTCAAATATCGTGAGATTTCTTGGGGACAAGTTTGGAAGAGAATTTTATATTTCTACGTTTACTTATATTATTATAGTTATTCAATCTTAGTTTCCGTTGTAATTAATAAATATAATTTTATTCGACGTTATTATGTGTATGTACACGACATTAATGGATATTGATATTTCAATGAAGATACAAATATATAGAGTGTGGGAGTTTATGAATTTTCACAATGAGTTTAACAAAAATAGTTTAGCTAAAATAATGTTGGCAAAAAAAACAACTTATCTCGGATCATTCGCGTAATATGGCTCATAACGTGAAATCTCTTTCTCTCTTATAAACTTCTACACTCTATGACATTCGCAATTATTCAAATTTATTACCTTAGATGAATTATCTCGTCTCTGTTTATCGAGGTAAACACATGCCATTACGGGAGAATAAAGTATAATGCGAATGTACGGATTAATGTTTCTGTAACAATCAAATAAAAATAAGAAGATTGCAATATTATTGACATAATACAAATATTGTGAGTTGTATATTTTCAAATTTTCGATATTCAAATCGAACTAAACTTGTATGTATAATTCGAGTAAATCTTTTCCATCAGCGATCTGAAATTTATATTACTAAAACTGTCCACATTTGATATTTCTAATACATATAGAGCATCAAATAGTTTTATTTAGTTTATTGCAAATTATATTTTATTATTTTTTCAAGACTCTAAATATTCAGAAAACGTTTATTTATGTATCAAAAATCTAAATTAAAAAAGTCCAATAATCTACTGCACGACTGGTAATACATATGCGTATATTTAAAAAGAATTAAAGTATCAAATAAAGTTATAAAATGTACAAGAACAGATGTTTTCGTCTAACATTTTGAGAGCTTTCTCAATAATATAATTACCGAGATATTATTTAATCAGCAATTTTCAAAATTGCCATAATATAATTAAATCATAAGAGTTAAAATATATAGAAAAGATTAAAATATTATCACATATCTATAACATATTTTTTTTATATAATTATCGTTTTGTTTTAATCTTTGAACGTTGATTCAATATTAAATGCGATGTTGACATTCATTTCATAATTGATTTTGACTTGCACTTTTTTTTATATTATGGCAATTTCTATTTGATAATATTATAATACATTGTTCTAATTTTATCCTAATTACATTGTTCACTGAGGAAGATCCTGAAGCTCGAGATGGAAACATCTGTAATATTATTTAATATGTATTTAATATATTATTATTTTATTTGTTTTAATTCTTTAAATATATGCACACGCATTATCAACCGCAGAATTTGGATTATTGTCATTTTTGTAATTTAAGTTTTTGATTCTTATATTTTGAGCTTCTGCAGTTTTATATTTTATTTACGTTGTATAAAATCACAAATGATATCATTATTAAATATATATTATTATTTGTCATTCAATAATTAAATATTACAAAATTGCAAACAGTCTTTTCATTTTTCAAGTTACAAGTAATTTGAAATTGAACGCGTCCCAGCTTTAATTAACAAAACATACATATCTGCGTTATGAGGCTTTGAAATTTATCGCTGAATAATTTAAAACACAAAACTAATGCATATATTTGTCTTGAATGTAAATCTGCAGGGTTAAGGAAAATAATTAAATCACACACGCGCGGATAAAAGGAAAGATTATAAAGAAAAAAACGCATAAAGCGAGAGAGAATGAGAGCATGTATGAGTATGTGTGTATTTGTGCAAGAATGCCATGATAGTTTGGAAGCAGCTCGTTACCGATAAAACTTGCGAGGTTCAATTTGAGCTCGCTTTCACGTATGGTACTATTAATAATCTAAGTCTATATGTATTATGAATTAAGAACTTGATACACATATATATATATACACGCATACACACACCACACACCTATACAAGCACATACACGATAGAAGACTCCTCTGTAAATAATTAAACTTATCGAGGCATTAGGAATTTGCGCATATGTCATTTGACGGATGGATGATTGTGCCGATATCGCGGCTCGTACGTGCGTATATATATATATATATGTATGCATGTGTGTGGATGTAATTGCATATGTGAGTGCATGCGTATATTCCGTATCCCGTCTGCATTTAATTTCGACTCGAGATCACGAAGTTCTCCTCCGGAGAACAACTGGATGGAAGACATTTTCTCGTTTTGCCGGGTGAACGTTCGTCACGTCGCGAGGAAGAGCAGGCCTGTCGACTGGATAATTAGTTTATAATCGGTTAATTGATCGATCATGCGCCGCGTCGCGTGACGTGTCCTGGGCGAGCTCCGCGCAAACACGTAGCTGTTTCTGTATCTTTTGTATCATAGTGACAATATTATACACAGATGCTTTATTACTAATGTTTTCTTTTTTTTTGTTACGTTTGTTTTGATGAGGGTGAAAAATTGGATTTATTAGATTTACGCGGGCATTGCGATCGATCATTCCGATGAGCATTCGGGCGAATCGATTATTTTATTATTTTGCTTACGGTGCACAATGCTCTAGGAATTATAGTTGTTAATTGTGTCGCGTAGAACCTTGCAAAATGCTCGAAAATAATTGCCGATAACGAACCCGATAAACAGTCGGAGTTCCTGATACATGGAGACATTTATTATTGTTTTGCTCTGATAAAAGCGATGGCGATTCTGTGCAATTATATCAGATAGATCGAAGCATCCGATATGAACTGTGCCAAATCGATGCAAATATTTATTTAATAAATGAATCGAGAGACATATAAGCAAAAAAAATCAATCGCATAGGAGGAAATTTTTCTGAAAAAGAACATTTTGTAAACTTTCTGTCAGATTCTTCATCTTTCGCTGGTGTAAAGCTGTTGTAGTGAAATTCAATATGACATGCCGACAAAATAAAGGTATAACGTTTATCATATTTTGTGGAATAAATAATTGTTATGCATACATCAATTAATGTCCGAATAGCAATTTCAATGTATTGCACGGTTATGATTGAAACAGGCATGTTCGTATATGAGATAAATTTCATCGCGTTATAATGTTCTCACAAATATGTGTACATAACACGTCATATATAATGATTCTCATCAAATAAAATATTCCCTTGCAAGGAAATCAAACGTGTTACAAGGATGTTCAAACGAATACGATTTTAACGTAAAAACACTTATAATCTGCCATCGAACAAGTCTAGAAATGATTTCTTCAGCGCTTTTCTAACTTTTGTTCTTTTCCTTTAGAATTTGTAATAACTTTTGTAAGGAGAAAAAAATAAGGAGTTTGTTATCGCAATTCGAGTTCTTACAAAAAAATACATTTCACGAAAATTGGCCGTATAATCAATCGAATAGGAAACCGCTGGCACAGGTCGAAAATTATTGCAAAATCTTTTAGAACGTTTATTGTCTGAATTACTTTGTTAAGTATTTGTATGATAAGTTGCCTTGTAAAAATGTACCGATTTTACTAAGAAATTAAATGTGTTACTGAAAGAAAAACCATGCACAAATTCTCTTCAACTATATTTTTATCAACCTCCGTTCTTTACGTCGAAAATAGTAATGACGGAGCATAGAAGTAGTCGATTAAAAATAATAATTGTAAGTACCAATAAATTATCATTTTCACCGTACTTTCTTTGTATAAGACTGATATCGTTTGTATAATGCTTGATAATCCCGTTAGAAGTATCGAGATTTATATACGTAAATTAATGTATCTAAGGAATATATGTCTATATATATATAGATCGCAGGAAACACTTATATCATACTGTAAATAGAGAATTTACGAAATCGCATTTTCTAGTTCGATATAAGCGTTAGTATTAAGATTTTAGCTGATATAGAATTATCTTGAAAGGATATATACTTAATAAAACTGCGATATATGCAAATATAAAAAAACAAGAACTTTGTGCTCTTTAAGAATTCTGTTTTCAAACTCCCTGTGTTAATGCATTTAATAAAGGGATCTTAAACACTTTTTGCTACTTGTTATCACTTTCTGGTACAATGATTTTTATTATCTTTTTATTAGCTCAAGCATTATTATTGAATAATGCTAATTTTTATATCGATCTGACATAATTATTTTTATTATCAATTTAGTTTATTATTAAACATCGAAAAAATATGTTTTTCTAATGTCGGTTTAATTTATTGAGAAGATATAAATTTTTTCCAATTCATAACTACTTACACTAAATGTGATTGTTCAATTTTGAATTTTATTTGTATTATATTTGTATTATATTTGTATTATTTGTATTAATTTATTATAAACAAAATGCAGAAAGATTTCTATAAAGCTCTAATTTGCTTCTTTTTGTTAAAATGTAGTACATCTCAAATAATTCACCGCTGCATTTCAACTCTTCAACGATTCATGGTCGTGATCTATTGTTCCTCTCAATCTGATAGCAATAGTTGTACGAGAATAGCAGTGTTCACAATTTCTCACCAATGCCTACTGCTATTGCTAAAATATTTTCCTTTATTTCTTATAATCATTTATACATAATGAAATGTTTTAATATATGACGTATTTATTATATATATTTATTATATATAAATTTATTAATATTTAATTTGAAAGTTAAATTGATTAATGTATTTTATTACAAAAATAACTATTATAGAATTATCATAGTTAATATTCAGAGTTAATCAAGAGAAAATTGCATCCATGTAATATAATACATAATTATTAAATTAAGCAATCTAGAAATTCACGTAGTCGTCGCTAGTATTGGAAGTCAATTCTTCTAACATTATCACAGATTAAAAAAAAATAACAGTGCTTACAAATAGTAAGTTGCGGTGCGCGATTGTCAAGTTTTTCTCAAGCAGAATAGCAATAATTTATATAATATTAATATAATATATTAATATATTAATATAAGAGATATAGAGACAGTAATAACACTCAACACAAATATAGAGACAATAATAACACTCTAGAGTACTATATTTTATATTATTACAATATTCTTATATCCCTTTAGTCTCAATGTATCAAATCCTGCTTGCATAGTTAGTTATTTGTAGCGCTGTTATTATAAATAAGGTATTTTTACAATTTAAATAAGAATATACATATTGTAAATAAAAGTTGCAATAATTGTAATTATTTTTTTAACTCATATCCAATGGAAAGAAAAATAAAAGACATATCTAGATCGTTGGCAATTAGAAGGAAATTCGTCAGAATGCTAAATATAAATTCATTACACTTATTCACTGTTTTTTTGATTATCCATATCACGCAAATGTTTGGATAATAATTCCCATTTAGACGCCCATGGAGGTTTGTCCAATTCTTGAGTGTTAACTTCCTCTATCAAGTTCATCAAGCGAGTGAAAAATTCACTGATCTTTCCAGCAGTGCCCCGTCGTAATTTCTGAAAAGGTTTATCTGAAATGCAAATTTTATCAATATTAGAAATATAGAATCAATATAGAATCTGTTATTTCTATATCAAGATTCAAGATAATTCGATGATGAAAAATGATAAAATATATTATGAATCTGCTCTTTACTGCCGTCATAAAGATGCTACGATATTATATATTATTGATACTGAAATATAAATAGAATAAAAGTGGACTGTAGTATGAATCAATATTTCTGAGCATTTGTGACATGACGCAAATAAGGATATAGAAACGATGAATACGAGGTGACAAGCATTCCGCAATTATATCGAATGTCTCTAATACATCTTTAAGTAAGTAGTATTCTTAAAAACTATCTATTATCTTGATATATAATTATGTTATATACGTTTTATAAGATAGAATGATTAAAATAACGAGATGTAATATATCATAAAATTATTATTTATAGTAATCGTAAATTATAAAAGCATACGTACTTGAAGGTTGAAAAGAATTCTTGATCCAGATTGTTTGTTGTGTCAGCGCCGCCATAAGCCTTTTAGTAATTAAGCTCTGACTCTCCGTTGTCATAGGTCTTAAACGGCTAACAAATCGCAAAAGATATTCTAATAAGTATCTTGTGCAGACGGGCAACTTTGCAAGACACCGCTGCGGCTTTGAACTCCATGCGACGATATAACTGAGATTATCAACATCAAGAAGCGGATGTTTAAGAGTCTCTAGCCATTCAAACAACAGGATCGACAACACCTCCAAATTAGTTTCTAATTCTAATCGTTGCCAGGCAGTACATCGATGATTTAAATCACTCTAAAAATATATTTTTAACTTTTTAATATTAATACTAATACTATCGTTAAATATATTATTGCTTATAATTATATATGTTATTAACATGTATCATACATCATATTATAAAAAATAGCAGTTAGAAACATTAATTGTTATTATAAAATTAACTATATATGGACTATATATTAATATTAAGTTGCTTTTATTATTATTTGTTTCATGTTAAAAAATTTTAAAAATATTTTAAGTTTTTCTATTAGAAAAAGAGAAAGAGAAAGAGCTAATTTTCTAATTTATTATGTTTAACAGAGATTATTGTAAATGATATGATAATAATCAAAATTGCACCTTAAATACAACTAAAATTAATAATTTATTTTGCGACTTAGCTACAATATTTTAAATTATATATATATATATATATATATATATATATATATATATATAGCATATATAAATATCATATTCGATTCTTATCTTTTAGAGATATTTACGAGTGCAAAGGTATGTGTAAAAATTATTAATTTATGAAAGATAATTTGAAGAAACTGAATATGAATAATTTTATCTGTGTGTAATATTATACCAAAAAATATTATTTTTGCGTGTAAAATACCTGATAATCATTCAAACGTTTTTTTACTGGATCCGAAAGAGACGCGCTACTTCCAATAAGTGCTTTGATCGCTTCTTCGGCAGTCACCGTTTCATAATCATGACGAGCAACGTTTCTTAAATCCATATGCGACTGAATTTCCTTATAACAATCATTATCAAGTAGATCTTGATCGTGAATACCATCACCTAGGACATCGTCCACGCAACTGTCATCGAGACCTGTTGCATAAGATCGTACTATCAGATATACATATTTATCTTAGCAAGATGGATTATAAAAAAATGTCAATCATCTTGAACATTTGTCAATAATAATACCTGGAAATATAGAGTCACAGGAAGGAGTATCCGGTGACATACAAAATAGGTCGCTCAATCTTCCTATATCATCAGAAGTATCTCGGGATGATCCTGGACTACTATCACGCGCTTTAGAGGATACTGTAATATATAATGTTTTTTATAAATACATATGATATCCTGAAATATATATAGTTCGGAATATTTATATATAGTAAATATAAATATATAAAATAATTAATAGACAAATATATTTAAATCATCAATACACTATGTATACACACACACACACACACACACACACACACACACACACATATATATATATATATATATATATATATATATATTTTATTTTCCGTTTATTTAAATTAATCAAAATAAAACTTTTACAGATATACATACAGTTTTGCGAAGAAAATATTATATAATAAAATCATATGCCTTAATGCAATTCAATTATTTAATCTGACAATCTCCAAAGTAGAAGGAGGTTAATTGGATATCATGAGATTACTTAATTACTAAATATAATATTTCTTACTTGAATATTCGTAGGATGAATCCGTAAGGGATTCCGCCCACGAATAGGAGTGCCGTATGTTGCCCGAAGCGTCACGGAATTTCTCTAACACATGGCAGATAAATTTCTGCGTGAAAGGCACATTGGAAATTGTATACACAATTTCGGAAGGTGAATTGTCTTCTTGGCAATCGCAGAGTTGCAGTATCCGTTCACAAATAATGAAAACGATCTAATAAAAATTTAATCAATTAGTACGCTATATCTCTGGCATTGTGTAAGCAATTTTAATAATAATAATAAAACAATATTTATTTATTAATAATATTAATAATATTAATATCTATTAAGTGAAAAAAGAACATTAAATGTTTTATTCTTTAACAATATTTAAATAATTTTAAAGGCATTTGGTGTATGCTATCTTCAAAAACGAAGTTTCAAAAATTTCATTTTTAAAAAGATTTTGTTAATAATTTCAACATTCTTTGCAATTAAAAAATAAAATAATAATTAAAAAACAATAAAAATTAAATTTAATTACAAAATTTAATTACAAAATTAAATTTAATACAATTTAATTGAATTAAATTTAAATAAAAATAAATAAAATATATAATTGTAAATGTTAAAAATATCATATAAATAAATTATTAAATGCATCGTACTTTTGGAATATGCTTAAAATTGCGCTGCTCATATCCGTGTAGCATATTATACTGCTTCTTCAAATATGTTTGAAGACTGTAAGGCTTGCGATCTCCAGTTGTACTGTGTAAAGGAAATACTATCATTTGCGGAAGCACGAAGTGCTCGAATTCCTGAATGCAAAGTATCTGTCCGCGTGTTTGTATAGCGGACGGACGTTTCATGCGGACAAATCTTATAGCATCGTTTGCCCTCACACGAAGACTATAAATAAGGTAACATGCAATCAGAACGCCAGTTCTGCCAAGACCTGAAAGATAAATACTTTCAATATTATCTTATTATTGTAGGTCTAAAATTGTCAAATTATTAATTAGATATCAACAAGTAAGTAAGCTATACAAAATAAGCTAAAAATTATTAGAGATAACATAAATGTTATAACATATTGTTATATATAAAAAAAATTAACCGTGAAATTGTTTTTATCAATATTCAATTATCTTTTTCTTACAAATAAAGAAAAGCAATTGTAATTCTAAATTATATATGTAAGACCTAAGAAAAGATATTAAATTAAAAGTTCGCCATTTGTAAGAAAAAACGCTTAATCTCTTTTAAATCTCAAGAATAGGATTGAAAGATTTCTCAGATTAGATTTCTAAGAATAGTCACGTTAGTTAACCGTGTTATCGGGTTACCAATAAAGCATCGCTTTTTCAATTCTATGTTATTTGTAAAATATTATAATTAATTAATATATAAATACTGAAAATAAAAAAATATTAATTATAATTGTAAGACAAAATTAAAACTTGTGTATGCTATAATATATTTGAGTGACATTACAATCTACGGCTAACGTAAAAATATTGAAATCTCATATATTTTCTTCTTTATAAAAAAATGTTACGTAATATGTATACAAAATATTTTTTAGATTACAGAATTTTAATCAATTCAGATAATAACGATTACTTGTATATGTACTACTTTCCGATAATCGCTATTCGAATTGAAGCATTTGTCGCCCGGCACTTTTGCATGCCTTTATTTAAAAGTATAGTGCCGTCAAACTAGAACCTTAGTCAAGTTCTAGCATTACTCATCAGTTCCTCGTTACTCTAGAATTGCTACATTTTTAGTCACACTTTGCATGTGAACAGATGAAAATCATTTGATGCGAAATTGTAAAAAACTTCCATCAGAATCTCTGAAATAGTGCAATAAGTATTCGACTTTACAGCCTGAAACTTGCATTGACAATGAGTTTCATCTGTTCACACGCATGAAAATGTAAAACGCAATAATTTGAAAGCAACGAGGAGAAATTAATAAGCAATGCTACACGATAAAAAACATTTTATATTTCTGTTAATTTCTTGTCTTCATTTTGTCGTGTAAAAATTTTTGTGTTAAATTTTTAACATACTCTTATGTTAATGTAACATATTATCGTTGCGTTATTTTGACATTTCTGCGTTGAGTTAATATTCACCGTTCCTAAGAGTTAAAACAACACAATTAACATGTAAATGCAAATACAAATTTTTTATGAAATATGTTATATGTTAAAATGAACAGATAAGTTGTGTTATTTTTCTCTCTATAACAATTTCCATATGTTAAATCGACATATCTCTTCTGTTATTTATCATAAAAATGTAAGAATAATATTTCCTTTTAATTAAATTTAACATTATAAATATGTTAATTTAACATAAACTTTATTTCCAGATAAAGTTTAAGTGTTACATATTTGTGTAAATTTTTAAACATATTACTTGTGTTATTTATTTACATACTTACTTTCTATTAAATTAACATTAAAATTAGAATGGATAAATTGCGACATGTGAAATATGTTAAATTTAACACAAAATTTTTTACTGTGTAGGAATAGACTAAGATTCTAATTTGATGACACCATATTTTGATGAGAGCATACAAAAGTTTGTGCCGCGCTATGACAAGTCTTTCAATTCAAATGGCGGTTATGTCGAAAAGTAGTGTATATATGTAATTAACTTTTGTGTATAATAAAATTTTTCCTGTCCTTTGTTTTATTTTGCAATTTCCGACTTGAGATTGATCCCCAAATAGCCCTTATATATCATACCATCAGTTTCCATAATCAAGCATACTTAAATGAATATAACAATTATAAGAGAGAAGAATTTTTAATACTTTAATAGCAATTAGAATGTTGCCATCTGCACAATTTGTCTGACTTCCATTGGTTAGATATGAGCTAATTTTTATGATTGTAAAACTTTCCATACTGCAACCTTTACGAAGAAACCAATTGATCGATTTAAACGGTAAATGGTTACTCTACATATCTTGAAATACCATTTTAAATAATGATACGTTTCTAAAGTTAAAATACATCTTTTAATTATTAATTGATACAATCAATAAAGAGCTCATATATTTTTTTCAGTATGTATCTTTCTACTATACTAATATAATAAGAATATATTAATTTAACATTTGAAGAAGGATATGAAAATATATTAGTGTCAAAAAGATTACAAATACAAAAAGATATTTTAGAAAAAATATTATATTATTATATTTTATAAAAATATTATATATAACATTATAAATTTGATATACATATAACTCCATACAAAGTTAAATTTATATCTCACACTATTATTTAAAATAAAAGAATATATGTATAATTTAAAATATATTTGGCAATAAAACTTCACAAAAGAATTTAATTATTATTGTTAGCTTAAACTTTGTTTCCAATTACATAGCTAATTTTAATTTTATTAATTGTTACTAAATTGTTACTAAATCGTCTGGATATATTTTTTTATATATGCTTCTCTAAAATTTTTTTACATCTGATATGATTACATCTAATATAATTTAAAGCTGTTGATTAATATTACATTGTAAAAAAAAGAGTCAATCTCATAATTCTAAAGAATAACTGCTAAAAAATTGAATAAAAAATAAAATTCGAAACATATATTTTCTCGAATTTTTTATATTATTCATATTATAAGAAATAACCATAAATTAAAATTAATTAATTAATTAAAATTTTGTATTATATATACATATACTGTATTAAAATTGCATATTTAGCATTATATTATACATTCTTACATTAGTTTCAACTTGTTGATTCGATATCAATCAAGATATTATTAATATATTTAAAAACAATCTTATTTAAATGACAATCTCACAGTAAAAAATTTTGTGTTAAATTTAACATATTTTACATGTCCCAATTTATCCACTCTAATTTTAATGTTAATTTAACAGAAGGCAAGTATGTAAATAAATAACACAAGTAATATGTTTAAAAATTAACACAAAAGTGTAACACTTAAACTTTATCTGGAAATAAAGTTTATGTTTAAATTAACATATTTATAATGTTAAATTTAATTAAAAGGAAATATTATTCTTACATTTTTATGATAAATAACAGAAGAGATATGTCGATTTAACATGTGGAAATTGTTATAGAGAGAAAAATAACACAACTTATCTGTTCATTTTAACATATAACATATTTCATAAAAAATTTGTGCATTTACATGTTAATTGTGTTGTTTTAACTCTTAAAAACGGTGAATATTAATTCAACGCAGAAATATCAAAATAACGCTATGATAATATGTTACATTAACATAAGAGTATGTTAAAAATTTAATACAAAAATTTTTACACGAGAAAATTTTAACAGAAATACAAAATGCTTTTTAACGTACTTCTTTTTTACGCATCAAAAAAAACTAATTCATTACGGCTGACCTTCGCGATTAAATCTTTGATTTTTAACACACAATTTGATAATTAAATAATTTTCCTTAAACTTATATGTAAATGGATATTCTCTTTAATATATTCATTATTTATAGCAGACGAACATGATATCGTGATGTGGGTATAAAAATATCACCGTTACGTTCGATAGATCGCTTATCGTTCCGCCCGCATTTTGTACTTTAATGGAAAGGAAATCCCCCGTGTTACGATAGTGTTCGTGATGCTAATAAATTAACTTAAATAAAATGGTGACTAATTTATTGTCAGGAATCATACATTTTTATCTAATTACATAATTATCTGTAAATTTATGCGATGGCTAATAGTAAATTTTTATAAATCAATCGTTTTCTACATTATATAATTATTCAAAAATTATTGAGATAGAAGAACATCAAATGATATTTTGAGAAGTATTCGAATATTAAGTATTTTAAAGAATACAGTTTATTTTTAATAAAGATTTATTCAAAGGATTTTTTTCATAGTACTTTAATTTATTTATTTCAATTTTATATCCTAGATATATCCTAGATTTAATGATTAAAATTCGATTAGTACTATATATGTATATATATTAGTAGATAGAAGAACAGTAAAAACACCAAATAATTAATAAAAATATTGATAAAAATTATATTAAATATATTGTGCTAAACTATAAATTAAATTTTACGTTCGTAATCGAGATTACTATTTTCTGCTTCTCTCTAGTATTTCATAAAAGTTTCTCGCATGTGCAGCGTAAAGATTCAAATACACGATGTATGGTGCAAATGCATCAGCCGATTTAGTATGCACGCGATACCACGATAATATCGCATACGATAAACACTTTTCACACGTTGCTTTGATGGATATTGATAGAAATATAAATTATTTACATAAACAAAAGTTTTCATATAAAAATGTAAATAAAGCCCATATAAGCGCTTAATGAATAAAAATTAATGAATAAAAATATATCCAAAAGAGAAAATATTATGAACAACATTGTGAACTAATTTATATATATATACATTGATCTTATACGATCGTGCACTCAAAAAGCCATGATAGTCAGGAGGGATGCAATTGGGTCAAGTGTACTGTGTGAAAAATCGATTTACCAGCATGACAGTGAATGGCCACTCTTCCTTCTTGCACGGCGAAGGCTACAACCTTGACCATATCCAGGAGCTTCCCCATTGTAGCATCACCATAATCCTTCAGGGCGAAATTATAATAGTAAACTGCAAAAAATTCGTTTAATCAGTAGCTGGAACTTGATGCTGAACGAATCTGCGACAAAGAGAATAAGCGATAGCAACGGCTGTTATTTCGGGGCTTTTCTTTCTCCAAATAGATATATGCGTTTGCTGCATTGCATGTTATATTGTGAAGCTCTTCGATCTAGCTAGTGGTTGTTAAGGAATGAGGAAGAGACGCTTTCACAATTCTACACAAGGACAAATTTCTTTCCATTTTGTTTTATCATAGTGACTCTTGCTAACATAAAAATTTTAACTTGCTAACATTAAATTTTTTGCTATTTTCACAACTTCTGTTACTAATATACAATTTGTGTATTATAATATAAATGTGAGATGCAATAAAGTTAGAGCAATTTATATAAATTACTTATATATAAATTATATAATATATAAATAATTTATATAAATAACTCTTGGAGTGTTACATCATCTGGTATATATATATTCATGAAAGCAATTTTTATTAGAATATTGATATTTATCTTTTAACTAGCCTATTATGAAATATAGCGATATAAAAAATATTGTCATAAAATAGCACAAGTTGAAAAGAAAAGAGATGCTTTTTTAAAAAATAATATAAATTATATAATTACTATATTATTGTATTATAAAAAGTAATATTATATAAATTATAACTATAAGATATATAATATTTAATATTATATAAAAGTTATTTGTAGCTTTTTATATTTGATTTATTTTTATGAAAATTATTTAGAACATCATAATCAATGTTTTCCAAAATTACTCTTGATGATAAAATTAAGTAGGAATACATTAATGACCGAAAAAAAATCCTATAGATTCTATAGATTTTATATAATAAACTTACTGTTATTTTTCATAAAAATATTGGGATCATATGTAAAACCACTCTCTTCGAGTGGATCACCACAACTCGCGTGTTCGCCAGGTGTTTGCAAGTTTATTATAGTTTTTATACTCCAACCTTGAAATTGGGCAATTATATCTTTCTTTACTATTTGAGTGGTATTAGGTCGTGCCATCGCAAGGACATCATCAGTCACCCTAAAATATTTGAATTATTTAGCTCGAGAATTAATGTTAGCGATGGCGCAATACTAGACGCGCAATAATAAAAGAATTTTGACTTTTTATTAATTTTTCATATCTCGATGCATGAAGAGGATATGTTAATATGAAATATTCATTACATATTTGATTATAATCATGATTTATAAATAAATCTTCGATGCTATTGGTTGAGCTTCGACAGAATGTCAATAATAAGATGTCTTTAATATGAATCGTACGCCTCCCCCTTTCTCTAGCGATATAAATGTAACAAATTATAAACACATTTCAAAATAATATTCTATCACAAATATTTATATTTTTCATAATATTTAAGAATAATACACAATAATGCAACACTATAATTATAAATAATAATTTCTTATAATTAATTGTTTTTTTATAATTAATTATTTTTATATTAAATATATATTAAATATATAGTGCACATTATGGATAATAAAATTTATTTATATATTTTTTATTTCTATCTCAAATGATACCTGATTAAATTATTAAATTGTTAAAAAAAGTAAGCATTATATATTTTATTTTAGAAATTTGTTTACTTTATGTTTTTTTGTCATCTTATTAAGATTTATAAGCGGCGAGATAATGCTTACCAATGCGAAAAGATGTTGTGTATTGCCATGTGGACAGGTGGCCAAGCTTTTGGATTTTCATACTTGCATCTAGATCCACCGCAAAAAATGGCACACTGTATAGCTTGTGGTGTAAATTTTCGCAAATTTTCCGAAAACTTATTATATCCCGCTTGAATCACACATCCATCTGTTTGCCTTTGAAGACCTGCCGGAACTAACGAACTTACATCCATTCTACAATAAAAATACGGCCATAATAATAATTTAATTAAAAAAGAAAATCTTAAAAAAATATATGTTATAAGAGGCATATACAAATAAATTCATAATTTAAAAAAATTATAACCAACGATATACTTTGGCACAAATAATCACTTTTTGATATGTCCTTGTTCTGCACCGTATTTTATGTATAATTTAAAATTACAATAAAATTCTTATGTAAAATAATATAAGTGCAACAAAAGCAATGGAACTTTTATAACAATCTAAAAAAAATTTTTCAAAATTTTCGAGCACAGAAGATAATACATACATTTGCGAAAATATTTATGCGCTTTTCATCCATCTCATATCTATACACAAAAATAACAATCGCTGTTATTAATCAGTCTCATTCATCAGCTATTAAACCGTGCATATAGATTAAACGCGACGCGGGTTTAATGTACGAAGCTGGTCAATATAAAAAGTTGTCACACTATAGGACAAGCGCATAGCGACTGGCAGTTCCGCTACCATAACGCCGCTTTATCTATCGTTGAAACGTGAGGCGGTTGCGCCTGCGTCAGACAGGCAAAGTGGTAATAATGAGATTTTTTGCATACATTTTTAAAGCACTTGTAAATGTAAAATTTAATGCACGATAAGGTGCAATTTGAGGCTTATGACATTCACGAGAATAGAATTAAAATCGCATGTTAAAAACAATTTTTTTCCAAGTCCTTTTCAAATTCCCTTCAAAGCACACAAAGAAAAAAGTTCTAAATTATTAAAAATATTTATTATTAAGAAACCACTTAAATATATATCAAACACGAATTATCTGAAAGCTTATAAGAATGTGATTTATCTAAATTAATTAATATATATGCAACAAAAACGTGTACATATATATATATATATATATATATATATATATATATACACATTTTTTTTAAAAAGTAGAATATATAATGTTAGATATGTATATATATATATATATATATATATATATATATATATATATACTATGTGATATAAATTATTTATAATAATATTATAGACCTCCGTTCCGAAAATTGAATAGCGTGCAAACATACATTAAATAGGCAATTTGATACATACACATGTACACATAATTGAGCGATTATATATAATGAATAAATGAATTATATATAATGAATAAACTAATTAAGCTAATGATTGATGATGAATTAAATTTGTTCTTTGACAAACAAAAAATTACGATGAAAATTATAGGAAAATTTTAATAAAATAGACATCTGATACGTATGTAGATAGTCTGGCTATAAAATTTTAGGACTATCTCTAGCAAAAATAAAGAAGTTATTATATCTTCAATATTATCATTTATTTTTCAATATATATCCCTTCTAATTTTTTTAACAAAATTTGGCGCGCTCCTCCAGCTAGTGTAAGGTGTACTAAAAATCCGAAATGGGATGCTGTTTAATTGTCTTGTAACGTTGAATTTGTTTCACATGTTCAAATCGGCTTCTTTGGACTTTAGTTTAAGTTTGGGGGAAAGAAAATAGTCAGTTAGGGCCAAATTGAGTAAGTAGGGAGGGATGATAAAGCATAATTATGTTAAGTTTTTAAATGCTAAAAAGTGATGCATGTTGGAGCGTTATAATGAATCAAAAACTAATCACTATTCTTTTTCATCTCAGGTCATACGCGACTAATTCTCGAAGCAACTTTTTGACTATCTTGTAAAATTAAATTAATTATTGTCCTTAGTAGAACAAATTCTTTCTTAATCATGCCAACAAAGAAAGTAATGAGTATTGTTTTTATTCTTGACTTTTAAAATCGGAATCGAATCCATTCTGCATTGTTTTATCATTAAAATGAATATAATTATAAATATAAATGAATATAATTATTTTTTTTATATTCTTTTATTTGTTTCTATAGTAATTTTACCCTATTTTACTCAAAACTTAATCGTATACCATCGCTCAATAAACGTTTCCATGATGAGACAACAAAACAAACATATCATACAAAATAGGTTTGAATATAAACTGTGCACTGACCTAATATTGATAAAACTTAAGGGAATCCGTGACTTTTTTACCAACAAAATGAGAGTATTAATTGCATTTAAATATCTTTTTATTAACTACATAGATCGATAAATTTTTTTTCATGATTAAAATACTTAAAATAACGGACAGTACCAGCTATAATTCCATGTAAAAAAATTAAAAAAGTTAAATAATTACAGTTTTGTTATCGGCTTCTTTTTGTTAAATAAGTATTGTTATGGCTTCAAGCCGTAACAATACTTATTTAACATAAAAATTCTGCAGTTTGTTTGTGCATAAAATATATATAGCAGGCGTATTCAGGATAACATAAAGGAATATTAGTGAACAAGTAAACATGTACGTATGATTAGAAATCTAGTAAAAACGTTATATTCTATGTAACTTTTTCACATATTCGCATATATGTGTGTGTGTAATTGAGGCTCAAAAGCAAAAATCGCATAAGTTTATTTGATTGATGTTGCAGTACATGGCTGTTAGTATACATGTACGCGCTCATTATGCACTATGGGAAATATGTTTTTTTAAAAAAAATGATTGGTTTTTTGCTAATATATTATGAAAAATTAATAACATATGGAGTGATTGAATATTCCGATAGAGAAAGCGAGGAACAATTATTCTACCAAAAAATCAATAAGAAATATTAATTAAACTCTTTGAGATATAGTTTTAAACAATAGAGCTGATGTATTATGTTTGAATATTTGCGCTATTGAGTCATGTAGTTCTGATAGTCAATAGATGTCAATAGGCGACATCGTCATCCATACAGCACAAAATATTGCAAATAATATTATCAGAGAGAAGACTGAGAGATGTCATGGCTCGCTTTCAGATGATCCCTGGAAGCGATACTCCCTCTGTGGACATTAAAAATGTGGACATGAACTACAAAACCAATATCCACGAATGGGGAGAATTCTCAGAGGGTAACATATATGTCCCTCTGTGATAATATAAATAATATAAATAAAAATATAAATAATTTTTTAATTAATAATAATTTATTATATAAAAATATTAGTATGTTCTCTCTTTTCACGCTATTTATTTATTTATTTGTCTTCTTTTTCTTAACATCATTTATTTATTTATTTAGTTCGTTCTAAGTCAGTTTTTTAAAATGCAAAACTAAATTATAAACTATATTATAAAATTTAACTTCGGAAAAGTGCAGTAAAACAATGGAATAAATTCAAATCATTAGCACAACAAAAGGTTTCGTGATATAATACACACATCAATCGTTTAATAATTAATTTAAAATAAAATATACCTCATAATTTAAAATTCCGCGTGTATACGTAGTATGTAAAATATTTTGACAGAAAATTATCAATAATATTATGTTTGGCCTTGGCGACATATAGCAAGCTCGCTGTACATGTCACGGCTTTGCCATCATTCGCACGGTGCACTTGAATAATGAAGTAGTAGTGTACGAAACGCTTCGTATATTATCAAATTCTTTTTCCAACCCAATCGTGACTAATATTGCAACATAATTCGTTAGAATTATTATAATTAACAAGTATCTTTTGATTAAATTTTTCTAAAAAGCAAGTATAAATTAATTATTAATTAAACAATAGTTATATCACGATTATTCATTACTTTAATTTTTGATCTTACGAGATTTGTATTTTATGCATATATACTATATATACATATATGAACAGTACTAGTACTACTCGCTCTGCTTATTATTGCTATATTATTAATTTTAATCTCGTATAAATGTTGCTCTTATGATATAATAAAGTGCGAATTTTACATGATTATTTCGCGATCAAAAATAACATGCAAAATATCCCACATATTAGACTATGGTAATTAATCGTATTCTATTAATTGTAATTAATAGGATTTACTCGGATGAGTGTCACCAGGAAATAGTGAAGAATATACAAGGGAGAAAAAAAAGTCTGAAAAAGCATTGGACAACATACGGAACACACACAATAATAAATATTGTTTGTTTTTTTTTTCATTGTCTGGATTTAGATTCATTCTAAATTACCAATGCAATATAACGTATACGAGTATAACGTATACTTATACTCGTATATAATATAAGATAAGATCTTATATATAATATAAGACACGTATAATATATATATATATATATATATATATATATATATATATATATAACATATATTCCACAGTTTAATTTCAAATATTTAAAATTATAAAATAAAATAAAATAATTTTTATACGAGATACATGAAAATTATGGATATATTAACATTTAACAGATACATTATAATATATTAATATTTAATTATAATAATATTAACATTTAATAGATACTAATAATATTTTATGATTTATTATATACAATTATTTATTATTAACATCTTATTACTTTGAATTAATGGAATGTTGATGATAGTTAATTTTTGAATAAATATCTCTTTATTATTACCTTCAGAATTCTGACGAAGGAAATATAATAACCACTTCCAATAAATGGAAAACTCTTTGGGCCGGTTAATATATTTATCTTTTTAATTATATGTCGGCGATGATTATTTAAAATAAAATAATATATATATATATATATATATATATATATATATAGAGAGAGAGAGAGAGAGAGAGAGAGCAGTAAGACCCAATAATATTAATGAAATAAATATAATTATCATTAAATTGATAATACAAATTTGTATTAATGTATTTTCTAGATTTTTTCTTTTATTTTGTCTTCTCCTCCTAAACATATAGATAAATACATAAATATAATTTATGAAATAATGAAGATGCTTTTTCAGATTAGAAAGTAAATATAGATACACTAAATAGAGATACTATATGTTGACTATATTAGAATGGAACATATGAATTCTTTATATTTTATATAAAGGAAGAAATACTTAAAATATTTTGCAACTATATTTTTCGAATCTTAATTATAAAAACTTTAGAACAATCAGTGATTAATTTGACAAATTCTATACATGTATTAATAATTAAATAAGTAATAAATAAATAAGTAAATAATTAATAATATAATAACTTTTTTAAATAATTAAAAAAGTTAATAAATATCAAAGATCAGTTTATTGCTAATTAAGATTTATAGAAATAACGGTTAAAAATGTTTTTATTCCACAGCAGACTTTTGTGTTTTGTAAATAAAAATATATAAACATGGCAATGAATATAGAAAAATATTTATTTCATCTTTGAACATTACATTGGAAGATTACAGTATTTTTCACGATTGCATAATTTATTTACTATCAATTTATATACATGAGTGTCTTGTTATACTCTGGTGCTACCGGCATTTCGTGCACATAGCACGGAACGAAACCAGAAATTGTGCACATAATACCCTCTGAGAACATTCATGGACATTGGCTTTGTAGTTCATGTCCATATTTTCAATGTTCATAGAGGGATCGCTTTCAGGAATCACCTAAAAGCAGGCCATGACATCTCTCAGTTTTCTCTCTGGTACATATAAAACACATTTATAAAAATTAGTTATATTAATAATATTATATTAATCATATTTATCATAAAAGAATAATTTTCCAATATTGGTTGCAATCACATTTAGAAAAGCAAAATTGCTGTATACGTGAAAAAAAAAACAGGCTCGATCCAGAACCCATTACCACAACACCGTTTAGGCGGGCAATTCAGTCAGCTGATTCATTTGTGAGGTATTCAACCTCTTGTTTCATTTTAATTTCTAAAAATGGGCGAAAACGTACAAGGAACATTCGTATCTGAGAAAATTTCTAAAATAAGGTGGCAACATAGAGATTTTACAGAAGCAAAGAATTTCTTAACCGGCAGTTGGGATAATCCGGTATAAACCATTATTTAACCTAAATTTATTAATAAGTTTTTTTAGTTGTATTATTTAGTTGTATTCATTAATAAATTCATTTTTTTAGTTGTATTATTTAGTTGTATTCATTAATAAATAATAGGTAAATTGAATAATTTTGTTTGTCAATTTTATTTTATAGGTAAATAAAATAACATATTGGACATTTAGAACAAATTACGATGAAGAGCCATCGCCTGTAGTTCTATCATCATACTCGTTTCTTGGAGATGTTACTGAACTAAAGGTTATATATCATTCTTTTATGATAAAATTAGTAATTTATTTTATGCATTACAAGTTTCTATAAAATATAAATTTTTAGTTTATCAACAAAGATTTCTTCGTGGCTTCTTCATCTTTAGGTTCAGTGAGATTATTGCAAGTTGACGAAGATACTTGTGCTGAATTTAAGGAGCACATGGCATGGGAATTTATACACAGTTTTAAGTGAGTAAAAAATTTAAATAAATTGGTTTTATTCTTTGAAGGCAAAATTTTATTAAATAAATATCATGTTTTTTAATAATACATCTTTACAGAACAGATTATGCCTCTTGTACTGCATTATCTACTTTTGAGCAAGATATAGCTTCTGTAGGAGAAGATGGGAAGCTTAATCTTCTTACAGCTATAGAGAAGAAACCAGTTAGGATTATTGGTAAGTGCTACAACATTGAAAAAATATCTATACTTTTAAAGTATATTTATAATATATAATCCATTTATATTATAATTAAAAACATGTCTTATCGTTTTTATCAGAAAATGCTGATAGTTGCTCCATATATTGTATCGACTTTCTAAAACATAATGAAGTACTCACTGGGAATTCTAGAGGACACATGAAAGTTTGGGATTTAAGAAACGATCGAGATATGCCTGCATCCACTTTTATGCTTTCTGATCAAGTTAAAGTAAGTTGCAATTGTACATTATTTCTACTAATTTCTTTCAATGTACTAATAATCTTTCGAAAATGAAATATTTTTTTAGACAGCAGCAACAAGTATTACACATCATCCTACACAAAGACATATTGTGGTTGCTGGTGGAGATGATGGTAGTTTAACTGTATGGGATTTGAGGCAAAATACTTATCCAATATCGCAACTTAATGCACATGCTAAAGCTGTTAGTGAGATACTCTTCCACCAAGACAGGCCTGACAATCTTTTCACTTGTTCTGTTAGTGGAGAATTATGGCATTGGAATAACGCACAAAGTTCGAAATTGAAACTTGGTGAGTTGTAATTAATTATTAATACGATATTATGTAATAAATTGAGTGTAACATTCTATTTTCTTTTTGTAATATCAGATTCTACAGATACGCATTGGTTAAATACAATTAGTGCAAATGGAAAAGTTAATGTGACTTCATTGTATGCTGCTATGCATAAACCAATAAATAGTATCGATATCGACAAGTCAATGTTACTTTTTGGATGTGACAATGAAGCAATGTATATTATAAGAAATGTTCTTGTATAATAATAATATATTGTTTTTTACATTTTTTTATCATGTTTAATAAATAAGTAGTATCAACACATACATACACATAATCTGTTTCTTTTCTTGTTAAAAATTTAATTAGGTTTTATTTAATGAATTTAAAAAAATTTTTAATATTAGAAACTTTTGTTATCAAATGTTATATTAAGAGCTATCCATAAAAATGCATAAAAAATTTATTTTATTTAGGGAAAACAGTATATATTTATTTATAAAATGAAGGACATGATTTACTGAATAGACGGTTTATTTTTATGGCATTATTTTTTTCTATTTCTATAAATCAAACGTTATATCAAGAGTTATCAAACATTATATTAAAAGCTATCCATAAAAATGCATAAAAAATTTATTTTATTTAGGGAAAACAGTATATATTTATCTATTTATAAAATGAAGGACATGATTTACTGAATAGACGGTTTATTTTTATGGAATTATTTTTTTCTATTTCTATAAATCTTCAATTATTTTTGTATCTTACACATATATAAAGGAGCACCTACACTTTTCCAAGTGTAACGCGCCAATTCGTCGACGCAACAGCCATCTGCTGTCACCTGCCGTTACCACAAAGACAGGAAGCTTCGGGATCGCTGCTAGCGCTTGCTTGCCATTTTGACTGACGCCTTGCCTGAAATTTCGTAAACAGTTTTAGCTTCTGCTTGGCTGCTCTTGAAGTGACGAGGACGCTATGTCGAAGCGTAGGATTGAGGTCGTGGACCCTTACGTCAAGCGAAAAGCCACGTGAGTACACCAACGTGTTTTCCCTTATTTCGGATGACTTCGGGTGACGGATCCGTCGATGGTCCCCGTTTGCCATGTGCAATATTCGCGGCATTATTGGGCTGCAAAACGGTTACACGTAATCGCGTACAATTTTTCTATAGCGTACATGGTGTTCGCATAGATATTGTCTATAAATTACAAATCGCGAGCTCGTCAAGACTCCTCGTTGTAGGCGACAAGGAAGACTCGTTACGCTTTGTGACGGTTCTCAACTGTGATCTGATTCTTTGTAATTTTACATTTGTAAAAGACGAAACGTATCTTTGAATAATCACTTTCTTGGTCAGAACGTGCTAAATTTCCTATGCATTTCGCGCATGTCTCTTAATATTTCAAAACTGTTCTATTTTGTACAAGAATATGTTTTTTCGATGCATTTACAATTGATCTGTATGTGTCTATATATTGGGGAAAAAACACAGATTATCATTGGTGTAATAGAATGAAAAATGTCACGATAAATATCATTTTACAGGGACAGCTCAACATCTAATAATGCGACAGCTGCACCATCCACAGCGACGAAAAGCCAAGTGCAATTCAATCCATATACTATGCTGCCATATACACCGAGATACTATGAACTTTACAAGAAAAGGATAACTCTGCCTGTATTTGAATATCGTACTGATTTTGTGAGATTGTTATCTCAACATCAATGTATTGTTCTTGTTGGAGAGACTGGTTCTGGGAAAACTACACAGATACCGCAATGGTGTGTAGAATATTCAAGGAGTATTGGAAACAAAGGTGTTGCCTGTACATCTCCAAGAAGAGTAGCAGCTATGAGTGTAGCTCAAAGAGTTTCAGAAGAAATGGATGTTGCCTTAGGTATGTGTATATATAAAATTATATATTATATATTATAATTGTATATAATATAATTATATATTATATATATTATATTAATAATTAAAAAATAAATGTTTCTATTAATGATTCTTTTATAATATTTCTTTTACAATATTTGTACCTCAAAGTTTATAAAGATGCTTTTTCCTTTATTTCAAGTTCATTTTATTTTTAATAAAAATTGTGTAATATTATAGGAAACAATATGATACAATAATAAACTAAAATTTACATACTTTATTAATAGGTCAAGAGGTAGGATACAGTATCCGTTTTGAAGATTGTAGCTCACCAAGGACTGTACTAAAGTATATGACTGATGGTATGTTACTTCGTGAAGGCATGTCTGACCCTATGCTAGATGCATATCAAGTGATACTGCTCGATGAAGCACATGAAAGAACATTAGCTACTGACTTGCTTATGGGTGTTTTGAAAGAAGTGATCAAGCAAAGACCCGATTTGAAACTTGTGATTATGAGTGCCACTTTGGACGCTGGAAAGTTTCAACAATATTTCGATAATGCACCACTTATGAATGTACCTGGTAGAACGCATCCAGTTGAAATATTTTATACACCGGAGCCGGAAAGAGACTATTTAGAAGCTGCAATTAGAACCGTTATTCAAATCCAAATGTGTGAAGAAATTGCCGGGGACCTTTTATTATTTTTAACTGGTCAAGAGGAAATTGAGGAAGCTTGCAAGAGAATTAAAAGGGAAATGGACAACTTGGGACCCGAAGTCGGTGAATTAAAGTGTATACCGCTGTATTCAACGCTGCCGCCAAATCTTCAACAGAGAATATTTGAACCTGCTCCACCTACTAAACCTAATGGTGCTATCGGTCGCAAAGTCGTAGTTTCGACTAATATTGCAGAAACATCGTTGACTATCGACGGTGTTGTTTTCGTGATAGATCCTGGTTTTGCCAAACAAAAAGTAGATATAACACGTCGATTAGATTTTTATTGAAAATTTTTTTATACTATTATAAACTTGCCATTAATATCAAAATAATTTTTGTTTATAGGTATATAATCCCAGAATTCGTGTCGAGTCTCTTTTAGTATCCCCTATTAGTAAGGCTTCAGCACAACAACGAGCCGGTCGTGCTGGTAGAACAAGACCTGGAAAATGTTTCAGATTGTACACAGAAAAGGCATATAAAAATGAAATGCAGGATAATACTTATCCTGAAATTTTGCGTTCCAATCTTGGAAGTGTTGTGTTGCAATTGAAGAAACTTGGTATTGATGATCTGGTGTGTTTATTTAGTATTTAATATTGTATATTATTAAGATAATGATAGATCGTTTGATTAAAAATAATATAATTTTGTATTATTTTAAATTATTCACTTTATTGGATACATCTTGCAGGTACATTTTGATTTTATGGACCCACCTGCACCTGAAACTCTCATGAGAGCTTTGGAACTTTTGAATTATTTGGCAGCTCTTGATGATGATGGGAACTTGACAGATCTCGGAGCAGTGATGGCGGAATTTCCATTGGATCCCCAATTAGCAAAAATGCTTATAGCTTCTTGCAATCATAATTGCAGCAATGAAATACTCAGCATTACTGCTATGCTCTCAGGTAACGTACCGAAGTTTACCGAATGCGATAATAATGCATAACCATTCTAGTAATATTTATTCTGTGCTATGCTAATATTTATTATCAATTAATAGTCTATCTAAATTATTAGTCTTTTTTAATAATCAAGAATTTAATTTTGTTGTAAAAATTACATGTAAAATATGAGAACTTCAAAAGAATAAAGTATAGTAAAGTCAGAATCGTGGTAAGATGACATGGTAGTATATTGATGATTGATATGGTATTAGTCCCACAGTGTTTTGTGAGACCAAACGAATCGAAAAAGGCTGCGGATGATGCAAAAATGAAATTTGCACATATTGATGGTGATCATTTGACGCTACTTAATGTATATCATTCTTTCAAACAACGTAAGTATTATCATTTTATTAGATAAGATCTTAACATTTATATATCTTACTCTACTTACATCATTTATTTTTGTTTATAGATATGGATGATGTTCAATGGTGTTACGATAATTATGTTAATTATCGATCGTTAAAAAGCGGAGATAATGTAAGACAACAATTGAGTAGAATAATGGACAGATTTGTATTAAAGCGCACTTCAACCGACTTCAATTCAAAAGATTATTACATTAATATTAGAAAAGCTCTTGTTAATGGGTTTTTCATGCAGGTAATTTAATATTTGTGCATCAGTTTTTAAATTCCTCCTTATCTTATATTGTTTCTATATTTTATATTTTATTACATAAACAGGTAGCGCATTTAGAGAGAACGGGACATTATCTGACTATTAAAGATAATCAAGTGGTACAGCTTCATCCAAGCAGCTGTCTGGATCATAAACCAGAATGGGTTATTTATAATGAATTTGTGCTTACAACTAAAAATTATATCAGAACAGTTACTGATATTAAACGTAGGTTTTTTTTTATTACATAATTATTATAGTGCATATTTATATATATTTTTTCCTTAATTTATTTACTTCTGTGAAAAAATAATCTTTATATATTTATCTATAAGATTTATTTACTTTTGTTAAGAGATCATCTTTATTTATCAAGTCTTTATTTCTTTACAGCTGATTGGTTGCTGATGATAGCACCACAATATTATGATCTACAAAATTTCCCTCAATGTGAAGCTAAACGACAACTGGAAATGATTCAAGCAAAACTAGATTCAAAGCAGTATCAGGAAGGCTTCTAACCTCTATGTATTTTAGAAATGTTTGGAAATGACACAAAACTGTCGACAGTACTCAGTCAATCTGCTTCTGTAATGCATAATGAACTTTGGCACTTTTTCACTATCAAAGTCACATCACATAAAATGTGAGGAGTCATTTTCTGTTCTTCACTTAAGACACTGAAGAAATATTATATTTAGGTTTTTGTACAAGCCTAAAATTAGCTTGTATAATGTAAAAATTGAATATTTGAATACTTTCAACGCTTAAGCTCAAAAAAAAGGAATGAAAATGGACACTTAGCTTGAGATACAGCAAAAAATATAGTTAATAAAAAGATTATTTATGTACATTTAAGAAAAGATTTAGTTTTTAAGTAATTTTTAATATAGTAGAGTTTTCACATTTAATCAACGTTTACATTCGGACGTATTTGAAATGCCGCTACACGATATAGTTTAATTTACTGTATAAATTTATTATATCTATATGCAGAATGTAGATATAATAGATAATTTTTGTATTAAATGTTGACCATATATTGTGAAGAAGGGATATATAAAATAGCTACTCCATAAATAGTCAAAAAATAATCTTTTCATATTTGCTTAAAATCCTCTAAAATAGGTTCGATTTTTGCTAATATTAGCCTCTAATAACACATGTCCAAAAGACTTCTGGAGGACAGCCAAAGGAAACTTTATGTCTTCTGGACATGTGTACTATTAGAGACTATATTGCTTTCTCTTTCTCTCTCTTTTTTTTTGGCACGCTAAATAAAACTTGGTTGTGATGTTTTTTGCGTTCTATTTCCTCAATTTAAAATATGTAAGGTGCAGTTATAGTGACATTTCTGATTGAGATGAGAATATGTTGGATGTATGACATTTCTAATTAGAATAAAATTATAAAAAAATCACAGAGAGAGCGAGAGAGAGAAAGGAAAAATTGTATATATTTATTATAAACTTTAATTTTGCAACCTCAACTTTTGTCTATTGGAACTTTTGTCTAAATTGGAAAAAAATAGAGCAAAGCTAAAAAGATAATAAGAGAAATATTTCTAAACACACTACCATCTAGACCTAAAAAATCAAATCATTGAAAAAAATATTTATGATATATATTAGAATATAATCAAAGCAAAGACAAAAAAACGACAACAAGCTGTGACCACAAAATATGAAAAACGTAATAAAATACCTTCAATAGCACCTGAAAGAATATGTGAATTTGATTCTATATATTTATTGTTCATCACTGATATTCTATATATTAATAGTAAATACATGGATTTTATTTTAAAAAAGAAAATTAAGAAATAATTCTTCTCAAGTGTTTTGTCAAATTTTCTATAATGAATTATATATATAAGATACCTTTTCGATTTTATAAATAAACGTTAAAAAATGTCATGAGAATGCAAAACTAATTATTGCAATTAATGTTCAATTGAAACATATCTTTTCATTCCAATAAAGTAAAAATTTGTATATATCTCACAACCAATTATCATCTATCTCTTACATATACATTTCTATTTAAATTAATATATTATTTCATCAAATTAATAAATTAACAAGTTCTATTTAACGTAGAAGAAATAAAATTCCTCTAATCGTTATAACTAATCTGTTAATATAATGTTATTACATAATATATTTGTTTTATTTTTATAATATGCAACCTGCTGTGTAATTTTTCCATATGAATATGTAATTTCTGAATTTTAATGCACATATAAATATCCAAATATACCTCTATTAGAGAATGATAAAGAAAAACTTGTTAAAAAAAATGTCAAATATTTGTGCTTTATTCTCTTGATTTTAAATATATACATTCTCTTGATTATAAATACGTTGAATCGATTGGTGGATCGATTAGAAAGAAAGAGACAAAAAGATTAATCAATGAAACGTTTTGAAACATTAGATGCATTTAGTACAACATCGCTCATTGAGCTTAATAAGTGGCTATTCATGATTGACGTACTTTCAGATTTTGGTTAGATGTAAAAATATTCACCAATCACGAACAGTTGCTCAATGAGAAAAGGTGCAATTTCATTGACGCTAGAAACCAGCGGCAAATTAAAATCACTAGACTTTCTCTAGATATGGCGTCAATAAAATAAAGTTCAAACAGTTTCAACTTTTTCAGTATGTAAAGCGGCCTTTTCATTGACGCTACTTTTTAGCGTCAATGAAATTGCACCTTAACAGTTGGCAGCCCTACGAGATAGGCTGTGCAGCACTGCGCGTATATAAAATAAATTTGAAATCGCTTCTAGCCTAACCATCTTCACGGGATCGACTTTATTTGAATTGCACGGCATCGCATCGAATTATGATGCGGCGTCGATTTGTTCGAACGTAATTCGGGACATCGCGATGCTGTATAAGCGTCGAATGAGCATGAATTGTCACGCAAATATGATAAATCACATCTACTCACCGTTCACCGGCTGTTCTACAGGCCGCTCCACTCGCTCGCCTCGGGACGTCCCATTCCGATCTTGATGCACACGATATCATCAACGCGAATGCGCGACACTTTATTCGGCATTCCCGATATTCGCTCGCATCCGATAATCATCATCAAGGGCGCAAATAACGCGACGCGACTTCGCTCCATCTTCGCGATCGCGCTATCACTGAACTGTAAAAAATAGCTGTCGCGCATTTTCACCGACATATTATGAAAGTCGCGCGATCATCCTTGGACACTTTCGACGCTCTTTCACTCACGATATTCGTTTAAAAACGGTTAAAAGACGCGAAAAATGCAGACGTACGACGATCCGTGTAACTGCGTATGACTCCGATTCACGTATGACGCGTATGACGTAGCAGTGACGCGCTAACATGGCGGCCGAACCAGTGCGCAGAAACGAATGCGCAGTGGTTCGGCCGCCATGTTAGCGCGTGTCGCTACGTCATACGCGTCATTGCTACGTCATACGCGTCATACGTGAATCGGAGTCATACGCAGTTACAGGGATCGTCGTACGTCCGCATTTTTCGCGTCTTTTAACCGTTTTTAAACGAATATCGCGAGTGAAAGAGCGTCGAAAGTGTCCAAGGATGATCGCGCGACTTTCATAATATGTTGGTGAAAGTGCGCGACAGCTATTTTTCACAGTTCAGTGATAGCGCGATCGCGAAGATGGAGCGAAGTTGCATCGCGTTATTTGCGCCCTTGATGATGATTATCAGATGCGAGCGAATATCGGGAGTGCCGAATAAAGTGTCGCGCGTTCGCGTTGATGATATCGTGTGCATCAAGATCGGAATGGGACGTCCCAAGGCGAGCGAGTGGAGCGGCCTGTGGAACAGCCGGTGAACGGTGAGTAGATGTGATTTATCATATTTGCGTGACAATTCGTGCTTATTCGACGCTTATACAGTATCGCGATGTCCCGAATTACGTTCGAACAAATCGGTGCCGCCATCATAATTCGATGCGATGCCGTGCAATTCAAATAAAGTCGATCGCGTGAAGATGGTTAGGCTAGAAGCGATTTCAAATTTATTTTATATACGCGCAGTGCTGCACAGCCTATCTCGTAGGGCTGCCAACTGTTAAGGTGCAATTTCATTGACGCTAAAAAGTAGCGTCAATGAAAAGGCCGCTTTACATACTGAAAAAGTTGAAACTGTTTGAACTTTATTTTATTGACGCCATATCTAGAAAAAGTCTAGTGATTTTAATTTGCCGCTGGTTTCTAGCGTCAATGAAATTGCACCTAAATACCCATTTACACCACGTGAAGCACCTATAGCGGTATTGTAACCAATAGAAATTTTTCTCACGATATGTGACGTAAGTTGGTAGAGGTTTCCCGCGCACACAATTTATGCGTCATTGTTTACCACTTTGCAGAGACGTGCGGTGTATGTGGTGACTTGATATCAATAAGAAAATAAATCTGTCAATAGCTTATCATTATTCGATAACATACAAAGAAGAATTATCGATAAGGATCATATTATATTACAGAACTGGTAATATACGGATAACATGTTTAGTTTGGGCGAAATTAGCGAGCAATTAAAAAATGTCAGCCGAAAGTCGGTTGGAGTCTCTTTTGCCGGTCAATCGCTCGTTTTGGACACCGCGGATAATGGTAAGAAATAAAATCTTTTTTTTTTCCATTTTCCGATGTTTTCTGCACAAAGTGCATGAGGTTATATAAAAATTATGAAAAAAATTCAACTTTTCTCTAACAAAACTTCTTTCACTTGTAAAGTACATTTTACAAAAAAAAGTACAATTATTTTACAAATTTTACTTGTCCAGAAATGTCAATTTTGATGCAATTTATCAGTGAATTTATTATTATGTTTTTTTATAATACAGCTCTTGAAGTGATAGAAGCGATAAGGGCATGTCCATGCTTGGAGTACTTGGATTTAGAAGGAAATACATTAGGTACACCAGCCGCAGAGGCTATAGCCGAGATATTAAAAGAAAAGGGAACTCCTTTAAAAAAAGCCTTATGGAAGGATATGTTCACTGGTCGCTTGAAAACAGAAATTCCAAAAGCGTTGGAATATCTAGGAACAGCATTATGCGTAGCTAATAGCCAGCTTACCGAACTTGATTTAAGTGATAATGCTTTTGGTCCAATTGGTATTCAGGGGTTAGCAAATTTGTTGACATCGAGTCCATGCTATACCCTTCAAGAATTGAGATTAAACAATAATGGTCTTGGCATATCGGGTGGAAAAATGTTAGCTAAAGCATTGGAAAAGTGTCTGGAGAATAGTTCTAAAGAAGGTGAGATATTACAGAATATAAATGTATTATTATCATATATCTTATAATATTCCAAGTATTAATGAAATACACTTTATTATAGGTGCACCACTTGCCTTGAAAGTTTTCATCGTTGGAAGAAATCGTTTAGAAAATGAAGGTGCGCAAGCATTAGCAGGTGTATTTGAAAAATTAAAAACATTAGAGGAAGTTGTAATGCAACAAAATGGTATATACCACATAGGTATTGCGGCAATTGCACAAGGATTGTCTGCTAATCCTAATCTGCGTGTATTAAATTTAAACGACAATACGATTGGATTGAAAGGGGCTAAAGCGCTTGCTAAAGTTTTACCTATTTTCCGAGGATTGGAAGAGCTAAATCTCGGAGATTGTTTACTAAAGACCAAAGGGGCTTTAATTTTAGCAGAGACATTAGAGATTCACGGCAATCATCCATCTCTTAAATATCTAGACTTAAGTAATAATGAATTACGTGTGGATGCTGGAAATGCTATTGCTAAAGCCACACATGATAAAACTCTTTTGACAAACTTGCAGTTAGATGGCAATTGTTTTGGAACAGAAGGACGCGAAAAACTTCGACAAATTCTTACAAAATTGGAAAGAATTGATGCATTAAATTCTTTAGATGAAGATTATACTGAAGATGAAGAGGAGGAAGATGATGATGGTGATGATGATGATGATGATGATGAAGAGAAAACAAGTGAAAAATGTGAAAGCGATAATACTGAGGATGAGGCAGATGACAAAGATAAGAAAATGCAAGATAATGTAGCACAAAGCACAGTAGTAACAGTAGCAGAATTTTTGAAATCACCGACAGGTGAAAAACTATTGCTGCTACAAGGTGATAATGTACAAGCTTTTGTTGATCATGCAATGGTATGTATTAATATATATTAACATCATTTGACATATTTTGTTAAATTTCTAACAATATTTGTACTTTTTATTCCAGAATTTGGCAAATCAGAGTAATATGACTATAGAACAGAAATATGTAGAAGAACTTTTGCGGATAACTATGAAAGTTTCAGCATTATGTGATAGTGGTTACATGAATGTGAGAATAAAAGCAGAATTCTTATCGGATGCTTTATATGCAAAGCTATTTTCTTATGCAATAGAGAACGATCAAATTTTGACTTTGAATAATGCACTATTAATAAATCTTGGCTTAATAAAAGTAAGACAACAAATGAGCAATATTTATTTAGATTCATTTAAAGGGAATAAATAAAATGAATAATAATGATCTACTTTTTAGGCTGAAGACAAAAACAATGGTAAAATTGATTGGAACTTGGAGGGATGTTTTAAAGCTTTGGAAAAAATTACTCAGAGAGACTACTTTTTGGCACAAACAAGAAATATATTAAAAGTATTCCTAGAACGACCAGTGAAAACAGGTCGGCCAAATGTAGTAGATCCATTTCAAGATTCTAAAACTGATCTTAAAACTGTCTTGAATAATATTCAAGTTACATAAATTTGTCTGGAATTATTTTAGTGGGTATGATAGTTATTTATTTTTATACATTATATGAAAAATAGAATATTTCATGTAATCAATTTGAATTGGAATGCCATTACAGAAATCTTGCATATATAGATAAATAATCTTTACGATTTTAAAGCAAAATTTTGTACTTTTAATATTAAACTTTTTTTTTTAATATACACAAATATGGCTTACTAACATAACTTTTATTATCTTTATATTATGATAAGTTTCCTACTTCTCTTATTAAAAAATTAGGTAATTAAATGACATTTATGAATGATATTTATATACTAATTAAATAATGAGTGAAATGAAAAATACAATTTATTATATCTTACATTGTATGTGTATATTCATTTCAGAATTCTATAATTCTCAGTTTATAATAAAATAATACATATTGTAATAGTTATTATTTCTTAAAATAATGTGAAGAAACATATATTAAAATGCAATTTCTCTAAATTTTCTCTATTATTTATATTATAATAAAAATAATTTTTTTATACATGTGCAGTATTTGGTGTGATGTGTAACTTGTATAATTAATTTGAAAAATACAAACTATCAATAATTCAAGCAGAACGTTTTCACTGTGAATGAAAACTAAGATACTTAGTATGTAACATTTTTTTCAATAACTTGTCAAAGATTGTACAGACTAATATGGAATAAATAATGCTTGTGTACATGTGCTAATTAAAACTTAATATGAAATGCATTGGAGATTGTTACTGCTTTTGCTCATTCATATTGTACTATATGAGTAAGTTCTCTTGAAAAGCTTCTGATTTTTTTAGACACAATATCGAGAAAAATTTACTTTACAGTGATTGTAGATGCTGGGTCCCAACCCGGATGAAAGAGGTCAACAGCCAATGGGATGCAATGTGATGAAGATTGGTCTTTCATATACATTGATGCCTAAAATCATAGGAAAAAAAGATAGATTCAAAATATATTTTATTTTGTTTCAGTTTAGATTTGTCTTGATGTATGTAATACATACAAGAAAAAGGATCAACTGCACTTTCGTCTTAATGTTACAATCTTGTCCTAAAGTAGATGGATAATCTATTATCCCATCATTTTTTCGTATATCAGCTGTTATCAGTTCTAGACAATGCTTTTCCTCTACTCTCAACGATTCCAATATTGATTCTGCAATAAATGTAAAACTCGATTTGATATTTTCTTCAGTTAAGATCCATTTAAATTGCCATTATTTAATTTCTTACCTCTATCAGAAGTTTCAGTGGATAAGAATCTCGATAAAACAGTTGCAGATTCGGAAGTTTCAGAAAATAAATGCGGATAACGTCTGAGAAGCAATTTTGTAAGCAGCATATTGCCGCGATTTCCAGCTAAGCTATTATTAGGTATACAAATAATTTCATCGTCTGTTCTTCTCACTAATAATACAGTTCCATTATATCTATCAATTTAAAAAATTATTTTATATCTATGTATGTATTTTACTGGTATTTATATAATATTATAGAATATACCTATTCAATTGTTCTGCGATATTCAAATTAAAATAATCTCTAATTATATTGCGGACTAAACCTTCTAGGGACGGTGGCATTGCTTTAATAGCTAGTGGAAGTATATCGTCAAATGTAGCATCTAAAACCTGCAGTGATATAAACTATTAATTTATAGAATGGCGCGTGTAAAATTAATTGAACAAAGTATAATACTACCAAGCTGTGAATAGAAGGATAGTTCATAGCAGTCCAGGTAGCAGTATATCCTCCAATGCTCCATCCATACAGGATAATGCGTTCTCCGGGAAACTTTAAACGCTCGATCGCAAAACGCATTACACAATCGACGGCATTTTCTTCTTGGTCTGGATATGGTGCGCCCTTTGTGGTCATTACTTACTGTTATATGAGGTACAAATCGGCCCCGAAGGAAAAGACTTGCCATTACTTCATACATAACTTTGCATTTACTGTCTTATATGTCAATGACAATAACTGCAACATTTTGATAAAGTTTTATTGTTGCAATAAAAAATAAAGTTTTATGACAGAGCAATAGCAATTTTTTCCCTCGGATTGTTTAAATTATATATAAAGTTTAATTCTTTGCGAATATTACTTACAGTACTACCGCCGAAACCAGGATGATTCCAACCTAGTACCGAATAGCCCTTATTCATAGGAGTGGATATAATACCTGTTTCATAGAAACCACAATTTCCTTCACAAGATATTACTAATATTTCACCATTAGCGTTCCTGCAAAAACTTAATATTAAAAAACTAGTTTGTAAGATACAATAGCTAGTGATAAAGTTATTGTTTACATTACTTGTTGCGTCGATCGATGAATATTGCATCAATTTGATTTTTATCAGCTGTCATCAGCTTGAATCTTTCCCCATTTTGTTTTATCAAATCTATCCTTCCCTTTAATAATGTAGAACCTTGACATAGTACAAAATCTTAAATAGTATGCATGTGTGTGTGTGTATATATAAAGACAGTAAAAATATAGTTAGAACAGTAATGTTTTACCGAGTGCCCAGCTGATAATAGATACACTGCCAGGATAAATCAATTTGATTGCAAGAGTATGCGCCACTATATAAGAAAGTAGTTTACATGGTATAGCAAATAAAAAATCTTTGCCACTTTGACGTTTTAGACGCCCACTAGCTTTTGCAATTTTTTCTAGTGTCAATTTGTCTGCAATTCTGTCACTAAAACAAATAAATATTATCACATTATATTTTATCACATTATATATATATATATATATATATATATATATATATATATAAGCTTTCTTAAAATCTCTTAAATATTGATATAAAAAATCTTAAAGTTAATTTTTGAACTTGATATTTCTTTAATTAAAATATGCAAGCATTAAATTTTTAAATAAATGGAAATACATAAAAAAAATGTTAAAATTAAAGTCAAAATTAAAATAGACTATTTTATATTATATAATTTGAGATTGATATTAATTAGATTTGATATTTAATTAAAATTTAATTAAATTTTTAATATTAATTAAAAGCTTGTAGAAATTATAATATCAAAAATTGATATACACAATTTGTTAAAGAATGTTTGAGATTTTAGGACATCCTACATAATAATTATTAAAAGAACATATTTGTCCAACCCTTTTAATTCGGATATATCAAAATCCACAGGCCATGCCCAAAATTCAAAGTCGTATTTATGAAGCTTCTGTTTTGTTCTTTCATTATATTGTAAATGTGCCTCATTTAAAGTTTGTACAAATTTCACATATACAGGATTGTTAACTCTGGAGTAACCACGTGCAGCTAACGAAGCAATGAGAAGTGCACCAGCACCAGCTGCCAATTTACTCAAACAGAAAACATTATCTGTCAAGGAATAACTTCGTTGATACATAAACGTAGCGATAAGTGGTACAGCATAAAGACTGATGGACCATATAGCTGCAAACTGTAACAATGTAAAAAACAATTTATACAAGCTTCTTACAATATAATATAAAATAAATAAATACAATATAAAATATATAAAAATGCGATTAAATTGTGGTGAAATTAGAAAATTACGTTTGTACACAAATATTGAGATTTTACTCGTACAGTGTAGCAGCAAAATTGTTTAGTAAATTTTCAAATAGCATCTTCTGAATTATTTTGCGAAACACTTACGGAAATGACAATTTGATCGCCCCATCTTTCCAAGTTCTTCGGCTCGTAAGATTTCTGTAATTTACACGCACATAACCTTAATCTTAAGTAAACTCTCACTGAGAATAAGTAATATACTGTACGTAAGTGCACTTACGTCAACCAGATGACCGATCCACGTTACCTCGTAAATCTTGAAAAGCCTCGGACTGAATGTACATCTCCATAAGGACCTGATTAAGGACATTTCGCATCAATCAATTCGATCTTGTCGTATACAAATATACGTTTACACTGCGGAACCACGATGCGGATTAAATTCTCACGCAGTACACATGTTAAAACGAAATATATCCAACTTGTATGTACTATGTCCGTCGAGTAAGCACGTCAGCTAGATAGACGACGGATTTTTTGCTAATTTTTTTCATTCCACATTACACAGCAAAATCATAGGTGACAATTAAAAATCTATCCTTCTTTGAATGTAATTTTACAATACAATATATGATTTGTTGTCATTAAAAATTTAAATTAGGAAATGTTTTAGATATATGATCGATATATATATTAAAACATAAGTATATTTACATATATATTTATATATATTAATCCTTTAACAGTTATCTATGTTTTTTTTAAAGGAATATCATACTATTTCCCTCTGTCGATCAAAAGATCAAATGTCAAATGTTAAAATATCAAATGTCAACTCGAAATGTCAAAATTGAATACTTTCACACGCAAACATTATAGTTCGATGAATATAAATTATTTTATTTATTTTCGAGTATCATAAATATCTCCAATACATAATTTAATTTATGTCAATTCAATCTTCAATTGCCATCTCATTTTCCGCGAGAATAATAATAAAATCAAGACGATCGGTGTGATATTTTTTTATCCGTATAATATCAAGGAATTTTAAATAGTTAGACATTTAGGCAGCCAGTAATGTACTTTTCCATGTACTTATCCATAGCACGTTGGAATTTTAATCTCAAATTTCACGGTTGACAGTTCGAAATTTATGTTTTTTTAAAGAATATCATACTATTTCCCTCTGTCGATCAAAAGATCAAATGTCAAAATGTCAAATGTTAAAATATCAAATGTCAACTCGAAATGTCAAAATTGAAAAGACTTTCACGCAAACATTATAGTTCGATGAATATAAATTATTTTATTTATTTTCTAGTATCGTAAATCTGTCCAATACATAATTTAATTTATGTCAATTCAATCTTCAATTGCCATCTCATTTTCCGCGAGAATAATAATAAAATCAAGACGATCGGTGTGATATTTTTTTATCCGTATAATATCGAGGAATTTCAAATAATTAGACGTTTAGGCAGCCAGTAATCTACTTTTCCATGTACTTATCCATAGCATGTTGGAATTTTAATCTCAAATTTCGCGGTTGACAGCTCGAAGATTCCAAGGATGGCGATCTATCGATCGATACCGCATGGAAAATATTAGCGACGTGAACGTAAAATTGGACGAAATTACGTACGGTTTTCCTTCGGGGCGCGATTCAAGATTCGGTGTCCGCGAAATTGTAGCTTCGCACCGGTCGATCGAGCGGTCGCGTTGCATGACTTTCGGAACGTCCGCGAGGAGGAGAAAGAGAGGAAGCTTGCGCTGGAAAAGAAAAAGCAACACAGCGGCGAGCAGAGTGTAAGGAACAAGCGGCCGATCGTAGCTACTCGAGAAGACTGCGTTTTGACTTACGCGATTTTACGCTGATCGTTCGCAGCAATCCTCGCAGCATGTCAGATTGGGACACCGCGCCTATCACGCTGCGTAAACGCGCCCCAAAATCGTCGACGCTCAAAACCGAGAAGGTCTGAGAAAATTCGCGAATCCCGGTGCGCGGTTATCACGTTAGCACAAGAGATCGCGATGCTCGTATTTGCGTCGCACGCGACTGCTAACTTGTACATGAGGTTTGTTATTTACAGGCGGTGAACGATGCGCGACGACAGGGTTACACCGTCGAGACACAAGCGAAATGTGAGTAATTCTGCTCCTGGATTTTTGTCGCGTTTTCTCCCCCGGCTTGCTTCGCAAAATTATTCCTCATGATGTAAACAAAACGGCACTTTTGCTTTCTTATCAATGATAATGATAATTTCGGGTTACATCAATTCGCGTAATTTTCTGAGAATAAAATGGGATTTTATTGTCGAAGAAATTGTTAATAATTATTATTTACTTTTTTTTAAATAATTTAAATTAAATTTTGGAACAAATTTCTTTTTTATTATCATCAAAGAAGCATGTAATTAGAATTATTGTCACGTCATCATATACACACATGTTTTATATCATAGATAAAAATTTCAGGTTAATTTAAAATAAACATGTTTTATGTACAGATTAGATATATATGTATAAAGCATCTATTTTGAAGAATAAGTTGATAGTTTATTATATTATACGGATAACTGGAGGATGTCAATAAAAGATAGAAAGCATCAACCAAGAATCAAATGAAATATTTTTCATACTTCAATATTGTATAATAATATATGTTAGATATTGTTTTACTTAATAGAAGAAGATATTATCCTTTAAATACTAATTGTTTTTTTATTTTATTGAAAGCATAATAATTCTGAAACCTCTGATAGGGGGTGGTGGTGCAAATAGACAGCATGTGACTACAAAGAACACAGCCAAATTAGATCGTGAAACAGAGGAATTAAAACACGATCAAGTTCCACTTGAACTTGGTAAACTTATCCAACAAGGACGGCAAAACAAAGGATTATCTCAAAAAGACTTAGCTACAGTAAAGTATCTTTATGTACAGAAATTATTTATTATTAGAAAAATAAAAGACAAGCATTTGCTATGATTAATAATTTTTACATGTTCTTTTTTTTACAGAAAGTAAACGAAAAGGCTCAAGTCATTAATGATTATGAAGCGGGACGTGGAATACCAAATCAAATGGTCATTGGTAAGATTGAACGAGTACTTGGGATCAAATTGCGTGGTAAAGATCGCGGCAAACCGTTAACGACCCCCGGGACGAAGAAGTGAATCTCGGGGGGGAAACAACTCTACTTTCGATCCTTATATATTATTCCCAAGAAAGAGTTATGAGAAAGACGGTAGAATGGAATGCAACAAACAAACAAACAAACAAACAAACCCCTAACCTTCTTTCCTTTGGTTACATTGAATGAAACAAATGGGTTATAATTAATTTGCCTTTATGGTAAGAGAAAGATATTTTAGGGTATCATGATATATATGCAAAGTAACATACAGTACATACAAAATGCATACAGTAATATAATGTAAACAAGGCTTATTGAGTTACCTTTGCGTAATCATTTACATATTATAGATTTTCACGTGTACATTACTAATGCTAATTATGAAGTAAGAACGAAATATGTTTGAGTGACAAAATAAAATTCTTAATTTATGATAAAGTACCCGATATTTGTTCATTGAGCACCATAGTACAGAGAAGTTGTAAAAAGAATGCAAGGTTTATTAAAACTAAAATAAGTATAGATAAGATCTCTATATATAAAGTAGAAAATATTGTGTATAAATATAAAGAACGCCTATTCAAGTATCATTGTGTATTTGTATCTTTCACTGATGCATATGTATTTTTTATACCATTCTTTCAGGCAATCTACATTTTTAATATAATTAAATTAATTTATTCTCAATTTATTCACAAAGAATATTATTTTCAAGAGTGCTTAAAATAGAGAGAAAAGTTTCGATAACAAAAAAAATGTGTTAAGATACTGAAATAACTTTATTTGCATCAATGTATAAATGTTTTTTCTCACTTCCATTAATCTTTTCTCAAGGCAAAACTGGAGTCTTTTATTCCATCCTTGGTAATAATTTTAATACTTATTCCATCACCTGTGTATATATCTCTCTCAGCTGCAGAAGTGAAAACATCTTTTAAGATTGCCACAGCCTTTTCTTGAGTCAAGACTGCAGGAGTAACTCCTTCTTGATTTTTATATCCAATCTAAAGGATAAAAACATTACATATATAATGCAATATACATGAATATAAACTATCTTTTTAATTTTCTCTTTTAAGTACTTTTTATTATGAAGATAAATTATATCTATATTAGATTGAAACCCTGATTGTACCTGATTATCAAGAAGTGGTTGTAAAAGTGCGCCTGCTGAACCGCCAGCTCTATATGTAGTTTTTTCACAATGTCCAATTGGATCGTAACTATATATGCATCCTTTTCCATTTTCATCTAATCCAGCAAGTATATTACTGACGTAATAAGGAAAGAATCTTTTATGATATAGCATTATTGAAAGCATCTGTGCTGCTGCTGGAGTTGTCATTTCTTTTTGATGTTCATGTTTGTACATCTAAAATAAAGATAAATATTGCATACGCATCTGATATGAATTTATGATCATATATCTATGTGATTGCTTTACAACTTATATTTAGTCTCAATTGAATACACAATAAAAATTTGTACCTGCATACGAGCGGACAAGAGACGAGTCAAAGTCAAGGTATCGCACCAGCAACCAGAGCATCCTAGGATGGTGGTGTTTGACAGAGGAAATAATTTATCCTGTTCTCGAGTGTAAATCGAAAATCCCGTACTAAGACGTGTATCCGCAGCAATGACACAGAAATCATCTCCTGCGAGAGCCACTACACTCCTAAAGAAAAAAATAATAATTTTAACAATATCTTTCAATACAATGCATTTTATTCGAAAGAACGTAAGAAGATAAAAATTAAAAATATTAATTAATCATAATTGCGCGGTCATCATAATTAAAATTGGCAAAAGCAAAATTGGTAGAGGGGTTACTTTCGTTTTACTTACCCTCCGTTATCGGAATATGGGCTGAAGCTGACTTTTTTTGCTCCTTGCACCTCGTAATCGGGTAAACATCCTTTTCCATTTTCTGTTAATAGAGCCATCGTTATTTTTGTTTGCAAAATCTCAAATCACTCCTGTCACACAAAATTGAATGACACCAAATGACACTACAATTTTAAAGGAGACACAGACGCAGCATAACATCGAACGGCAAAACAGTCGTACTTGGTCGTGTTTTCTTATTGGTCAATTCAATACTACTCTGCTACACGAATAGGATTTTCGAACACACCTCAAATGCTTATATAAATGTTTGATAAAATTAAAATACGTAAATATACAAAATACAAAGTATACAAAAATACGTAAATATATAGAAAAATCAAAATAGCCAAACAAGTCCTTCAAAATATATAAAATATATTTTGGCTAAAATGAAGCCAAAATATATTTTGGCAAAATGAAGCCAAAATATATTTTGGCTTCATTTTGCAATTTAATATTCCATTTATACACATACATGTATGATCAATGGGAATAAAGAAATCTGGATTTAACTGCAAAATTCGAATTCTATGGCGATTTATAAATTTTTTAATTTTAAAATTCTCTCGATATTAGGAGAACACGAATCGAAAGAAAAGATATTCACATAGGCCCATATTCTGAGTCTTTTATCGATAAAAGAAGATTTAAAAATATATGGACCATGAATTAATTGTAAAATTTAAATCTACAAGTTGTTTAAATTCTGTATTTACTTTTTGCTTTAGCTTATGTTTTTTGCAGAAATATATTTTTCAAATAATTTTGATGATTTTTCGAAATTATTAAAAAATTATAATGTATATTAATATACGTTAATTGTATATTATTGCATGAGAATTGTATTATCAGTGAATTAATGAAATTTTCTCGCGGCTGGCAATAGTTCTTTTTCGTAAGGGTAAGTAAGAGACATAATATATTAATAATCAGTTAGATATAAAAAAAATACATACATATGTACGTTTTTTCGATTTTTTCAAGATCCTTTTCAATATTCAAGAAGTCATTAGAAAAATAAACAAAATTAAATTTTAAATAATAAACAAAGCGCGATTAAACAAGGATAAGCGTGATAGGATAAATCCTATCGCAAAATTTAAAAACGCTAACAATAAATGTGACGAAAGCGCATAGATAGTTAGCAAGCTAAAAAATTAATAATGTCTGGCCTTAAGCTAAATTCTTCGAAAGAATGCCAACACTCACCTCTTCAGAAAAAAGACGCAATAAAACATGCATACGAAGAATAAAATGCGTGTATGTATTTTTAACGTACGTATGTATTTTTTATATCTAACTGATTAATATATTATGTTTCTTACTTAAAGTCTTTTATTATTACTTTTATTTTTTTTTACGCTCTAACTTCTTGCGCCACGGTCTTTTAGCCTTTTATTTTTTATTGCGTATTGTTATCATCCGAACCGTATATTGCTCTTGTTATTGTTCTATCACTCACAAAAAAATGTTTTGCAAATGTAGGTAGATTTCTAGATGTTGCAACCAAAATTTATCGCTATTTTTTGTATCTGATATCGTTTGTCACCCCCGCCGAAGGGATTAATTTTATATTTTAATTATTATCATTTTGAAACTTGTAGCAAACATTAAGAACGAAAGATTTTTGTAAGATAAACTTGAAAGATGTAAAATTAATGTTATTAATTATATAATTATATAATTATATAATTATAGATAATTATGAATCACATATTAATAGTTTTATTGGAAGAGTCTTGTCTTTTAAGAACAAGTTAGAAGTAATTCTAGCTTTCTTTATACGACACGAAGTAATTCTATTTTTATAAAATGAATTTGAAAGATGTAAAACTAATATGTTGCTCAATTACGATATGAATTATAATTAACCGTGTCATCTAAAAGAAATAATTTATTAAAATTTTACTTAAAATAATTAAAAATGGATTCAAAATTGACAAGTAAAAGCCAAGGTATCTGGAGCACAATGAAGAAAAGTAAGCCTTCTTTTTTTCTTCTAATTAATAGTATATTTAAAAATACTCGTTATAATATATATATATATATATATATATATATATATATATATATATATACAGGGTGGACCAATAACTTTGTCCACCTGGAATATCTCCATTATTTTTAGAGATACAAAAATTTTGTACGTATAAAAGTTGTACGGTACCAAGAGGGCCGTAACATGCTACTAATAATTTTTTTGTAGGTAGAGGCGCTTTAGAAATTTCAAGGTCATCTCCATTTTTTAAATGGAACCTTCCATTTTTTATTATCTATTCCTATAGCTTATCTCGAGAGCTTTTCAAAACACTATAATAAAGTATTTCTTCATTGAGTACTTGTACTATTTTAAGTTATGAGGGTTGAAATAATTTCTTAATTTTACATAAACCATAAAATATCTAGTAAACTATTTATTTTTCGATTATCTTATCTTAATGCTTATGTACAAAATAATGAGAGGAATTAATTGGTGTAAAAAAAACATACAGTTGTTTTAAGAAAAAATATGAAATTGTTAATTGCAAATTACAGACTTTTGGCGCATTCTGTATATTAATCGTTTCGGAAGATTTTTAAATCCATTTTCAATGCGACAATAACATATCGAATTATATGCATTATTTCGCACTAGACATGCAACTATATTAAACATATTATCTATTTTACATATTACAATGGCGATTTGAAACTTGAATATGTAAAAACTTTGATGAATAATACCTAAAAAGGAAAAGCTTTTTGCAAGTCAACCATCGAAGATGTTTATGAATTTGTCAACAAGTCTCAAGTCATCATAAGATATACATACATAATAGCGTTGCATACTGTGATTAATAGGAAAAATACAAGATCCGAATTCTGTAATAATAATATTGGTACAGTGATTGGAATTGTTCAAGAAAATGTATTTGCTAGATTACTGCGAAATACAGCATTGCAATATATCTGCATATCAATTGCAAAATGATTAATATAATTTTACATATTATTTTAATATTCTCTTATATTAATCTGATTCTCTACCGCTTAATATACTGATGCATTTAGCGGAGAAAACTGTCGTGTTATATTCTTGTAACATTTGATACTGATTTGTTGAATCTAAAAATAAGAATTAATCACATTCAATTGTTATTTTTAAGCGGTGTTTTTCCTGCTAAACATATCCAATGTTGCTTAAGCTGGATCAAAAAAAAGTTTCGAAATGTTCATGTTCAATGCATGTTGATTGTAACAAGTATTTTAAAATATACTAATATTAAAAGAAAAAAGAAGAGCTTTCTCTTTTTTCCTGAACTCCAATTACCGCATCTTGGCTCTTACTTGCCAATTTTTAATCAATTTTTAATTATTATTATTTGAGTCAATTTTTTATTTTAATTTTACTTTAAATGTTATTTAGTAGTTTTATTGCGAGATATATTCTTTGAAGCGAGAATAAGATATAGGTAACTCTGACTCTCTCTATGATGTAGTGGGGTAAGGTGAATAAATAAGTAGACATAACAAAGCTAGAAGCTTTAGTTTATCGTAGTTCGTTCATTGCAGATAGTCATTGGTTGATAATGTTTAAACAAACTGTGCTAATTTCCGTTAGCACATTATTGTTAAGAGTATCAAGTAGCTTTGCCGATCCGAGCCATTCTGGATCAGAACAATGGACATCTAATGAAAAAAATTCTTTAGATCGGACGAATAATTTAAGCAGTATTTTAAATGGCGGTGGTTATAATAATGAACAGTGTTTTGCAAATACGGAATTATTAAATCCTGTTAATTTACCATTGTTACCTATAATCTTCGCGCAGTCCGAGGATTTGCCAAATGGAAAATGTAAAGAAGATGCACAACGATTTTTAAGGGAATTGCAAAATGGTACTTTATGGGCTGTGCAAAGTAAGTATATCAAAAATTTGTGTAAACTACTACAAAATTTGTGTAAACTACTAAAAAATTTGAGTTTATAAATGATTATTGTAGATGAAGAGGTATTATACCAAAATGTATTTTTTTATTAAATATTATACAAAAAAGAGAAATTATATTCAATAATTTATAATTAATTAAATTCAATAAAATAGTTTAATATAAGTTAAATTCAATATAATAGTTTAATAATAGTTTAAATAATTCGTGACGCGTTTTATTATTCGTGGCGTAATATGTTCGTTTATCTGTTTTTAAATAAATAAATTTCAATCAAATTTTATTGTTGCCTCTTTGATTTAGTCTCTTGTTATATATTATGTTTATTTTATGTTGTGAACAATTTTATTTTTTAAATGTTGCGATAACATTAATTTGATAATACAATATGTAATATGCAAAAGATTATTTGTTTTTTTTTCTCAAATCTTTTTTTATATTATAATTTTACAATATGCAAAAGATTATTTGTTTTTTCTTTTTTTTTATTTCAAATATTTCTCTATATTCTCTATATTTTTTTTCAAATATTTCTTTCTTGCGCGCGTCTTTCATTTCCGATTTAGAATGATACAGTGAGGAACAATAATCCGATATAACTAATCAATTAAATTTCTCTGTAATATTTAAGAAATAAATGTTTTCACTTAAATAGTATAATTCAACTATTTTATCTCACGAAAAAAATATGTAAACGGAAGGAATCTGTAAACCGCATCTTATAAATTCTCTCAGAATGCGGAAGGCATTATTATTCTTGTGTCTACCCGCAAGTACAATCAAGTGGTTTCAATCTTAAATTTGAATTTAATAATCAAGATGTATGAGCAGACATGTTAGAAATTTACATCCTATTTTAATTTATGATGATTGTTATTGAAAATATGTGGTTATGTAGTAACAACTAAAAGTGCAATATCTACACATAACGAATTAAAAAGTAAAATTGGTAATACAAATATAAAATAAAATGTAAAAATTATATTCACAAGTAGAATCAGATTTAAAAATTTCAAATTTTTTATAAAAAAATAATAATCAAATTATATATGAATATGTACATGTCAAAAATTTACATCTCATTTTATTTTTTATGATAATTGCTATTGTCTGTAGTTAAAAAGTATTACACACATAACCAACTAAAAAACAAAACATTAGTTATATAATAAAAATATTAAATAAGCTATAAAAATTAATAGAGTGATTGTTATGCGTATTTGTATGCATAATTATTCTTTATTTTGGATCATTTATATCTCTGAAGCGCTCTATTCTTTTAATATTTTTCCGTATTAGAATTTTTGAAATACACAAATAAAATATGTTGATTTATTTTTGATTTAATAAAATTTTGTTTTAGTGTTTGATTCTTCATCGAAATATCCTGATGGCGTATTATACGGCCATACAAGACATTTGGGTAATTTTGATGAATGTTACAATTTACAAATTGATGCCGGAGAAGTTGAAAATAAAATGGCTGGTAGATATTGTTTAGTCGATCTTGAGTATAAAAGGAAAGATGCACCAATTTCTTATGAACCAACCATGGATTACAATCCAAACGAATCTTTTTGGGAAGCAATAGAGGTATATTATTATAGATATATATATATTATTATAGACTATTATAGATATATATAGATTAGGAGTAGTATATATATTTACAATATTTTGCTAATAAAGACCAGATTAAAAAAAAGAAAATAAGTTACAAAAAACAGGAAGAAAAAAATTTTTTTTTGTCATTTATGTTTGTATAATTTTTGATAAAAGAAAATATTCTTTTTTTTATTGCTTCTCTCCATTTCTGTCTATTCTATATAATTTGTTTATATATATATATATATATATATATATATATATATAAACAAATTATATAGAATAGACGGAAATGGAGAGAAGCAATAAAAAAAAGAATATTTTCTTTTATCAAAAATTATACAGTATGTTATCACATACTGATAACATTTAGAAATCCATATATATATATATATATATATATATATGGATTTCTAAATGTTATCAGTATGTGAATTCTCTTTTTATTATAAATTGTTAATATATAAATTTTTATTATAAATTTATAAATAAAATAATTTTTTGCATCATTAAGTAACTAGTTGTATGTAACTAATGATAATTTGTATACAGGAACGAGGAAATATTCATCGTGTTCGTCGTTATTTGTTGCAACTAGCTATATGCGTACCATCATCATGCAGTGCGAAAGATATAGAAACGGCTTTAAAAAGGCCTCTAGAAAAGATCGGTGCAAATAAGAATATTAATATAAATACTGCCGTTCAGATAAATTATTGTCAAACAATTGAGGAAGCGCCTAAATTTACTCTCCCTGCAATAATATACTGGTAAATACTATTAATATCAAAATATGCAAGTTTAAGTTATTTATCATATAAGAGAGAATCATTGTTTGTGCTTAAAATTATATGAAAGTATTTAATTTTTATATAAGTTATATAAGTTATTATTTATGCTTTTCTCTTTTTCTTTATTTTCTTTTGTTCTCTTTCTTTTATATTTTTTTCGTATGTATATCTCTAGGCAAAATAAAAGTAATAATAAATATTTGCATATATAATAAAACTAAAAATATTTATCATAATTAATATAAGTTTTAAACTTAAAGAAAAATTCATGATTTAATAAATTGAATTTTTTTGCTAAATTATATATTTATAATAATACTGTGCTATGATCTTTATAATCTTTTTTAGTATTGTACTGCTAAGTTTGCTGATTATAATATTTGTCAGTACTTTGTATGAGACTGAATTAAGTAGCGGAAACACATCAACCGTTCGAAATGCATTACTTTGCTTCTCACTTCGAAGAAATTTTAAAAGTGTTCTTCAGATAAATTATTCGAATCCAGGACTCGATACCATACACTTTATACGATTTTTCTTAGCACTTATTGTATTAAATGGGCACCGTGTGATACAATATTATGCTAATCCAACGGTTAATGTCATAGATTTTGAAAGAGTAAGTATTGCAGTTTTTAATGAATGTAATATATAATGGAGACAATAACAAATATTTCTAATATTTTAATGTTTTATATTTTATAAATATTAAATGAAAGGCTAAGTGAATGAGATGAGTGCATGAAGGAAAGCAACGATATTACATAATAAAATTATTATTTTTGAGATTGTTTTCGCGAATTTTGCGTTCAAAATTCATCGAAAAAGATTTTTATATCATGTGAAAATTTTGTGTCTATAATTATATAACATTTATAATAATATTTTTGAAAAATTATATTTTATAATATTAAATTCATATTTTACTTTATTGAATAAAATATCTACATTTTTTATTTAATTTGTTTTTAAATGTCTTTATTCATTTGCTTATCCTTTAATTATTTGAAGAAAGCTGACTCTCAAATTGAAGCATTTTGCTGATTAAAATTTAATTTATAAATTTAATATTTTTTTGTAGTTATTTGCTTTTCCACCAATAGCATTTTATTTAAATGGAAAAGTTGTGATAGATGTATTTTTTGCTTTGGGTGCTCTTCTAGTCACATATCATATGTTAGGGGATCTAGATCGAAGGAAGCAACTCAATTTTTTTAGTGATGTTATAACCAGATATTTTAGGTAAATATGAAAAGAACAATATTATTTTTGTCGATATTTGAAACTTTTTTAATATATATATACATGTATGGAATATTTTATAATCTATGATTTTAATTTTTAAGATTGTAAATTTAACATCTACAAAGAGCCATATCATTGTTTGATTCTATTAAAATGCATTTCAATTTATAAATTAATAGATTAACACCGTCTTATGCCGTAATAATTTTCTTTCATGCTTGGATTTTACCGCTTCTCGGTTCGGGACCTTTATGGAAGCATGAAATCGTACAAGAAAGCACGGAATGTTCCACTAATTGGTGGGCAAATTTATTGTATATTAATAATTATGTAAAACCAACAGAAATGGTAAGATTTCGTAGATCGATTGATATATTGGGCAAAGGATAATCATGGATAATATACATATCTGTTTTTTTGTTTTAGTGTATGTTTCAAACGTGGTATTTATCCGTAGATTTTCAATTATTTATTCTTAGCCAATTTGTAATTTATGCATTTTGGTGTATGCCTCGTAAAATTGGATATTCTTTTCTTGGAATATTGACAATTATCAGCTGTGCTATACCATTCCTAATAACATATTTATACCGTGTACCGCCTGTTTTTGTATTTACACTACGGTAAGTTACGCGTTTATTATTACATATATAATGTGTTTATATTTACTTATATAATATGTTTCGTGAAATAATACATATATTTTTTATAACATCATAAATAGATAGATAGATAAATAAGTAAATAAATATATATATATATATATATATAAATATACATATATATATATATATATATATATATATATATTAAAGATACACTTTTCATTAGATACAATGTATATTTTGCTAAATCATAATAATTCTTCTAGCGTGCAACACTTTAGCGAGGCACCATTTTTTGCATCAAATTATATACAAACATACATGCGTTTTATTGCATATCTTGTTGGTATAACTGGGGGTGCAATACTACATGATCATAGAGGAATAAAGCGTCAAATATCGACAGTATGTGATATTATTTTATATGATTATTTTATATTATTTACAATATATCTATTTTTGAATTACACAAGCCAATTCATCGTATTTTATATTTTATAGTTCTGGTCGCATGTATTAGTTGTAATATTGCCTCTAACTATGGCTGTCACATTTCAATTGTGGGCACATAGATTTTTTATGCCACATTTCGAATGGTCATCTTTAGAAGGTGGATTTTGTTCATTCTACCAGAAATTATTATTTTCAATTTGCATTTGTTCTATAATAGTTGTATTATCCATTGACAGCCGTTTAAGTACGTATATAGTAAAAACAATTTAATAATTAACACTTTATGAATTACTTATAGCTGTTTAATTGTATTGCATTTATGATAAGAAATATTATTAAGAAATTATTTCAAGTTGATTTAAAAAATTTCACAATATTTATAACAAAACATTAATTCTTTAAAACAATAAAAAATTATACTTAACATATTTTTGAATATAATATACATATTTTCCATGCAAAGTGTTAATATGAAAATTACTTAATTTTTTATTTTTATATTTCATAATGTATATATTTTTTATAGCATTTTATCATAAATTTTTGACGCCTAGTTGGGCCCAAATATTAGCAAAATTAACTTATGGAGTTTATCTCGTGAGTGATATATTTCACATTTATAACAATGGACGAAGAAGAAACCCTAGAATGTTTTCAATTTATGATGTGGTAAGTATATGAAGATTCTTTTACAAAATTGCAATATGTGTAATGATATTTTTTCGCATCTTATCTATTTAAACAATCTTATAACTAGTTATTATTATTATATAAATTTTTTTCGTCTAGATATGGGATTCCATTCCAGATACAGTCTCTTCTTTCTTGATTGCTTTAGTTCTTACATTATGCGTAGAGATACCATTTAGAAAATTATCACAAATATTTCTTCCCTCAAAAAAAGCTGTCACTAAATAAGTATTTATAGTATGTAAAAAATTATTTCCTAACATTTTTATTTTTGAACAGTAAATAATTTACTACAAAATTTATAACAAGTCATATAACTATGTATTATATATGTAACTAATTAAAAATAATTAAACGATTACATGTCCTGATTAAATATAATAAATTACTTACAAAATTTAATATGTATAATCTAATAAATATTTCTTGCGTTCACACAGTTTAGCAAAATAAATATATTTCATTTTTTAAAAATTTTTTCGATAAACTAGATTAAATTAAAGATTACAACTATATAATATGATAAAGATTACAGTTTATGATATTGAGATGTTTTTTTTTCAATTTGCTTTATATTACAGTTATTATCGTAATAAATAATATGTGTATATATTTACTTTAAATAAAAATTTATACTTTGTAAAACTAAAAATATAATTAAGAATATAAAAAATAATATGAATAATATAAAAAATAAAGAATTAAGAACATAAAAAATAATATAAAAAATAGGAATATTAAGAATATAAACATATAGACATTTTTTATATTTTTCTGAGTAATATTTAATTGCTTTCAATCGCATTTTACTGATATTTATGTACAAGATTTAATTTTATATATGTCTGGTTAAAGTCTTATTTTGTATCATATATAAAAAATAATTTTACTATAAATAAATCAGTTTAGACCATGCCAAGACAAATATCCTGACTATTATCAGCTGATGATATCGGTCTTGAGACCAGATACGAAGTAAAATGCGTTTAAATTTCCCTCCATTACAGTCTTACCATTTCTCTTGCTTATTGAAAAAGACATCCCTGTCGCATGTTAGGTAGTTTCTTGTATTTTCGAGAACCGCATTCTCGGTGATCAGTTAGTTTTCACCGATATCGATAATCTTTATTGCGCTCGCCTGGAAATTTGCATAAGAAACATCTAGCTGTTAGAAAGCTCTCTCTGGAACTGGTGTGACGCAGCACACCCGGCGCATAGTGTATGACGACAGATCGTTGAACTCGAAATAACTGCGAGTTCAGGTAACCTTTTAAAATTTGCGCTCTCGTTACGTAGACACCGGATCGCTTCGAAATCGTAAATCATTACTCGCGAGCGTGTAATGAATATACGTTATAAATATCAGATAAAATATATACATATGCACGCGACGAATGAACGTTATTTCTCTCAGTATCGTGCATAGCGAGGGGGAAGCAACGTGAGCCGCTCAGGATGAGGGGCAATATTATATATATTTTCGTCAATTCGCACGTACATTAATTCGCGCGATATTTGATTTTTTTTCGCGATAAGATGCACGATCAATGTCGTGGGCTCGGGAGCGAGGATTCGTCGAGACGACGCGGATGAAAAATTTGGCCCGGTGGCGCCACCAGCGACGCTCCTGGGCCATTCGGTCGCCGACTTGACTAGCGGCGTGTCGACGGCGGAAGTGACGCGCGTCGCTTCGTTACGTTTACATTCTGTTCCCGACGTCGCGTTGTGCGGAGCCATTACCCTCGTCCGCGCTAAAGCATCGTGCCATATTCCCACTCGCGCCCTAAAATAGACAGCATTCACGTAGTTTTAAGTGAAATATTATGAGAGTGAAGACCGAAATGGACGACGACGAAAAGGGGTGAGTACCGTAAATTGCGCCGTGAATTTCCCGTCGCCGTCCCTCCCACGGGGAGAGAGAACCGCGCCGTTCTCGTCGCGGGGCCATTATTTTTTCGTCGACCGCGAGGGCCCCATTTTCGCGTCGTCGCGATCTCGCTCGACGATCCCCTTTTCACGCTCGTTCCTCGGCACCTCGTCTTCCCGTTCGAGCCTCGTCCTGGTGTCCCTCGTTGCCGCTATCGAGAGAGCCAAGACGAGCCTCTCGTCGGGAGATACGCTGGCATTTTTCTTTTTTTTCTTTTTTTTTCTTTTTTTTTACGGTAGCGATGATGCATGACTCGTCTTCGTCGCGAGATTCGCCGGGTGAAGTCGACTCGGCGTGTTCGTGTCGTTCGATTTTCGTTGGATCTTCGAATATCGTGATCGCGAATATCTAGAGTCCCCTTCTCCCCCCCTCATCCCTCCCCTGCCTATCGCATAGGCACATTCTTTTATGGCAGCATCGCGAAAGCAGTCTCGCTCGCGTTCGCAGGCTGCTCGATTCTTTCTCTTTCTCTTTCTCTATTTTTATGCTCTAATTCCCGATAGACTGGATGGCTTGCATCGTCCGTTTCTGGAGGATCTTTATAATTTGCCTTTGTAATTTAATGTGGAATATTACAAATATTTATGTAGAGTGTTACAAATATTTATGTAGAGTAGAATACATGTAAACATGTAGATGTCTGTTAGAATAAGAAGTCTAATCGAGTTTTTGAAATAATAGAGAGAAAGAAAAATTCAGACAGTTGGTATTTATTCGTTATTAACAATGTGAATCATTATATTTCGTGTATAAGCATGTACGTGTATTTTTATATTTTTTTTATTAAAGAAATTAATACGCACATATGCCTGTTTTTAAAAATTAAGTACTTGATGGAATTAGAAAATTCCTTAAAGTAAGTTTTTTATTATGTATAAATTTTTGAGGACATACATACACATAAAATGAAATTGTATACTTACTTTTTTATTATGGTAATAAAATTTTTATTATGATATTTATATTTGTACACATACACACACGTTATATTTCCAAAATTTGAATTATTACATTTTTAAAATGCTCACATTTGATAAGATTTATATACATTTATATAACAAATTTGTATATTTTTATAAACATATATAAATTATTATGAGTATCTATAATATATAATTGTTGTGTTTATTATATTAAAAGTTTTAATTTAAATGTTAAATTGACTTAATATGAATTTCAGAAAATATGAAAATAAAATCCACATATATACACACTTTTACTTCTTTTTTATTTAAAATTATTTCTTTTTATTGAAAATATGAAAAGGTAAAAATATCGAAGAATATGATTAAGCTTCATAAATATCATAAGATATTTTTTCTATCAAGATAAGCATTCAAGTGAATTTATAAAATATATAATAATATATCATATGTAGATATTATTTATTCATGCTGTATTTTTTTACATTTTTTTTTAAAATTACGTAATGCATATATTAACGATATTAAAGAAATATTGTTTCTTATCTTATTTTAGTAAATTGTTCGTTGGTGGATTATCATGGGAAACAACCCAAGAAAATCTCCAACGTTACTTCGGCCGTTATGGCGAAGTTATCGATTGTGTCGTTATGAAAAACAGCGAATCTGGACGCAGTCGAGGTTTTGGATTTGTAACATTTAGCGATCCTGCTAATGTTTCTCTGGTTCTTCAAAATGGTCCTCACCAACTTGATGGACGTACAGTATGTATTCTAAATTTTTTTTTATGGAAGTACATGTCTTATATATTTTCTCTATAAATTATAGATTTAAAAACTGATAATACTGATAAATAGCTTATTTAATAATATTGCAATTATATAAGCTTAAGATAGAATCATGACTTTATATATACATGTATTTGAGAGTTAGATAAAAAAATATGTTTTGTTAATATTTCATTACAGATTGATCCAAAACCATGTAATCCACGCACTCTTCAGAAGCCAAAACGCAGTGGTGGCTTCCCAAAAGTTTTTCTTGGTGGTTTGCCAAGTAATGTGACGGAGACTGACTTAAGGTCCTATTTTACCCGCTTTGGCAAAGTTATGGAAGTAGTCATAATGTATGATCAGGAAAAGAAGAAATCCAGGGGTAAGTGTAAATTAATTTTTATATATTAATTGATACATTATGTTTGATGGTTTTCACATCATTATTATCTAAGTATTTGTGTTAGGATTGTATATTCGATTCTTCTTCTTCTTTTTTTTTTTTTTTTTTTTAGATACTATGTATATTTATATATGTTTAAAATTTTTTTTTTTTTTTTTTTCAATATTATAAATTTAAATTTTATAAATATTAAATTTATAAATATTAGCTTTATAAATTAAATTATAAATTTTAAAAATAAATAGTGAAAACTATTGAACTATATATAAAAATAAGATAAGTTATTTTTTCGTCTTTATATATGATATTATCAATATTAGTCAGAATTCTTGAATTTCTTTTTTATAGACGAAATAATATATATAAGAGATTCCATATTTATTATATACATATATGTATATAATGTAATTTAATATAATTTATATATATAATTTGTAATACAATTTAATTAAAATAATTTTATTCCTTATGAAAAACGAATATAAATGTGAAAGAAAATTAAATATTCTTTTTTTTATTATTACACAATAAAATTTTATAAAAGCACAGGCTTCTCTGATCAATAATTCTGACTGCGGTACACATTAATTATTATTGTATAGTAAAAAGTTTTATTAAGATTTCAATAAGAATTAACAATTTTTAATATTTTAAGCAATTTATTCTCTAATTATAAGATTAAATAATAAAATCTAAAATTATCTAATATTGCGCAATTATTACAATATTCAGCTTTAAATTTTTTTTTTGTAATATATTTTGTTTTTTTGTGAAGATTATGTTACACATTGCAGTACTTTACATTAAATTAAATAAAGCAGTTTATATATAATGCGTTTTGGCTAAGTTTTATTAAATATAAGGCTTTATCAATTAAATTAAAATTACACTATTGTAAGTTACACATAGCTTAAGTCTGCTATGTAATTAGTAAGTGGTTCTATTTTTTTATTAGATATACGTTTGATATCCCCTATATTTTTGAAGTAACTTATTTATGTAATTATATTTTCGTTTGTAATTATTTATAGAATTGTACAATTATTTATATTAAAATTCTAAAATATAATCTAAAAATATAAAATATTAATAATATAAATAACATAATAATAATATGTATTTTAAAGTAAAACTCAATGATTATATTTATAGCTGGAAACTATTGGCTAAGCATCACTTATACTTAGAAATAAGGTTGTGACTCGTACTTTTGTTAGATTAGATACAAACATTTCTCAATTATTTTCAAATATTTTCCGGCTACATACTATGTTTATATGTATGGTGGTTGCATTCAAGAAGTCATTTTATATATATCTCTCTCTTTCTCTCTCTTGCTCTCTCTTGGTCTATCTCTTTTTCTTCTCTACTTATTTTTTATAATAAAATATTCTATTTTCAAAAAGTTTCTTAAATTCAGCCATCATCAAAATTGTAGAAAATATATAAGCTATTAAATTTTATAATCTTAAAAATAAATGACAACAAATGCATTCATTGTTTAATAATACATATTTTATTTTTGGCATAATGTACATATAATATTATAGTATAATTATTTTATATTCTATATAAATTTCTTATATTATTGACAGTGAATGCATTGAAGACAATTACTATAGTATCAGAAGTTTAATAAGCATGGGCTATAAATCTAACATACACAAAATAATATTTAAGCTTAAATCTCTTTTTTATTAAAATTGTTATCATTATTTGCGATCGTTATTTATTTATCAAAATTTTTGAATAATATAGTTTTTCTATTTAGGTGTGTTCTATTAATGTGTATTCTAAAGGTTAAGAATTATAATTATCTTAATTGTGTAATAATATTCATATTAATTAATAAAGATAAGAAAAATTAATAAAGAATTTTTAATTTTATAATAAAACATTGAATATGAATATAATTTTCAAACTAGATTATAAATACGTCATAAAGTATGTGTTATTATGAATTTTCACTTATGAATTTGCACAATAATGATATATATAGTAATATTTTTCATTATTTTAAATGTTTGTATCATTCAAGAAATCTAATTAAGTTTATTAATAATAAAAAAATGTTTATTAATAATAATAAAAAAAAAGTCACAACGATATTTCCATCTTATTGTGAGACAATAAATTAGTTAAGAGGCGAGACAACGGGCTCAGCCAATAGTCATACGGCATTAATTTCTCTCTCTTAATCTCTTAATCTGTTTTAGCTAATCTTTTTATCCTTTGTAGAAATACATGCATTAAATTTATATATATATATATATATATATATATATATATATATATATATATTAGTTTTTTAAATTTCTAAATTAATAAAATTCTAAAATGAACATTTGAGAACAAAATTTTGATTTGAACTAGATTGTATCGTACTGTACTGTATTGATATATAATATGATAAGACATACATTCTCAATTACTGAATTAGTGAAAAATTTACATTGCGCAATATAAAAAGCGATTATTTTATTAATTCAATAAACGATAAAATTTATTATCTAATAAGTATTATAATATTGAACAATATAAATATCTGTTTGGGATTGCGTATATTTTTACACATTTGTATCGTAAAAACTGCTTTCTCGCATTGTTTTGGCGAGCATTTTTTTGATTATACTTTCTCACGTTTGGACGACAGGATTCGGCTTTCTCAGTTTCGAGGATGAAGAAGCAGTGGACAGATGCGTCGCGGAGCATTTTGTCAACCTAAATGGAAAACAGGTATAACACATCAATACACCATCGCCATGTGACCATGATGCTGCACAAGATCATATATTATCATGACATATGATCTTATGTGGCAAATAGAAAATAAGTATATGTATATGTACATTATTAATATGTATTGTTCTCTTGCAATTAGAAACATTACATAGGAATTTTAGTCACATAAATTATTTATTTAATAATTACTATGATTAATTCATACAATTATTAGTATATATATATAAACTCTATATATTAAATTGATAGAAACATAACTACTTTTGTAATTTGAATAGTATTAAGTATGAACTGCTTTTAATATGTTTATTATATAAGTATTATTATTAAAACATGTTAGTATATGATAAGTATACCGTTTAATTAATGATTTTCTATTTTATAGTTAGAATTAAATATTACTCTTATTTAAGAAATAGAGTATTATATGAGTCTCTTAATGTGCAGAATATTATATTAACTAATATAAAGTAACTCTCTTATTAGTTTAAAACATAATAATTTATGAAGACAATTGTAAATGATAATATATAAATGCGCGTATACATATATTTAATTATTATTCTAAATTTTATTTTAAAAATTTACTTTTAATTTAGAATTTAGAATTTTTTCATCATTCTTGATAAAGAAAAAACAATCTAATAATATCATTTGCACGATATCTGTTCTTTTCAGGTTGAAATTAAACGCGCAGAACCACGAGACTCGTCCAGCAAGATGAATGATAGTCATCAGGGTCAATGGGGACCCCCTCAACAGGGTGGTCCGCCAATGGGAATGGCTGGGAATATGGGGCCTATGGGTGGCCCAAACGGGCAAATGGGTGGACCTATGATGGGAGGACCGATGGGTCCTCCTGGTAATATGATGCAACAATATCAGGGTTGGGGCACTAGTCCCCAAACTGGTGGATACGCCGGATATAGTACCCAGTACAATGCTCAAGGCTGGGGTGCACCACCGGGACCGCCTCAACAGCAACAAATTCCGCCACCGCCACCGCATCAATGGGGTAGCAGCTATAATGTTCAACCTGCTGCAGCTACCCAGGGCTATGGAAGTTATGGTAATCTCAGAAAGAATTCCGAAATTTCAAATCTCTTTTCTCCTTCACTTTAACATTTTAAATAAAAAATATTAATCAATTAAGGTTGATCAAGGTTTTTCTCAATTTGATTAATTTGATTGTATGAGATCATTGAAAAGTAATTCAACATTTTGCTCGATAATAATAATATTAATAACAATGTCTTGTTGGCCGATATACAGACAAATTTTACAAAAATTGGTAATGTACTTAAAAAAAAAATTTGTCTCGCTCTCTCTCTTTCTCTTTTTGTATGTTCTTTTTTGTCGATATAAAAATATTAATAATCGATTATTTGATTAGTAAACAAGATAGTCAAAAATATTTTCATAGAAAAATTCGTTATTGATTATATTTAACATATCTTCTATTTGTATCAATTAATAAATTAAAATTAGGAAATCTTCTCTTTATATTAATTGATTATTATTAATTGATAAAATTTAAATTATCGATTAATAATGCTTCTAAACTTTTAACATTTATGGCAAAAATGAAAATTATAAGTACTACATTATACTACAAAAGAATCATAGGACATTAATAGAAATTTGCAGTACTGAAATATTGAACAAAATTATCACTGTATCTTATTAATACAGGGTACATGAGACAGTGAACGAGGTTGATATCAACTTTGCGTTCGAAATATACAATGTTAAGCTGACGTATGTAGCTAAAGCGCTATTAGAAAATTTTAAGTTTAATTCGATTTTTTCAAAATTTTAAATATCAACTTCGTTTATATCATGCTCAGGAATAGCAATAAGATCTTAGCTAAATATAACTTTAATCCTGCTCCACTCCCTTCCATTTCCATCCTGCTTGGAGAGGTTAGAAGAAGAAAGAAAAAGATAAGAACATGAGAAATCTACAAATCTCAGTATAATACGATAAATTTGCACAATGCCCCCTGGAGGTTAATGTCGTATGAAAATACAATTTTAATGCAAAGAAAATTAAAAGAAGTAATTATGTCAGTCCAGATTTAAGTGTTTTACTTCTTATTATGACATATAGATTGCAATTATTTAATATAATTTTATATAATAAAAGATAAGATATATATATATATGTATATTTCAAAATCTTTGTGTGTTTTTTTTAATAACAGATTCTTCGATCAATGTAAAGTCGACTTTTCTTTAGCGAGAATATCAAGCGATGTGACATTTTTTGCATTTTTCGATTTTTTCTATTATATATTTTGTATAATTGAGTTTAAAATTAAAATAAACTTCATTTGAAATTAATTTAAGAATATAATTTTATTAATTATTTTAATTTTATAAATTTTATAATTTTAATTTTAATTTTATAAAGTATAATCTGCTTCTTCTTTTCAAGTATTTATAACTCGGGAATTATTGATATCTTAACATTTTTTTATTAAGGAAAAATTTGTTACTAAATTGGTCAGAGAATTTGCTATTAAAAAAATGTCTGATGGTTTTGAGAGACATTCTTTATACATACAAATCTTCGAGAGATCTGCGATATACATACATATATGTATATGTATGTATATGTATATAGTAACTAAAAGAAATGAAATGTGATAATTATTATACATACTTAATTAAATTGTTCAAGTATTTAAATGAGACAGCATTTAGTTTGGATTGACGTAATACACATATACATATGCATATTCGAAATGTTGGACCTCATTATCTTATCTACGTTTATGCTTGATTCTCTTCAAGTTTAATCCTTTTTCACGTGTCTCTGTATTGAAGTTTACTTTCCCAATTTTTTATTTAGATTCTGCTTTTACACTAAAACAGTACTTACAGTTTTTAATCTACTTATCTTTAACATTACAAATTAAAGCACAAAATGCTAAAATTAGTATGCTTAGATAGCAAATACTAACATTGAGTATGATAACACATGCTGCTTATGTTCCATAATAAATGTCATACCAAGTGTCATAAAATAAAGAAGCACACATACACACACACAAATATATATATGTTATTATAATTAATACAATTGACAATTGTTATAATTATTACAATTGAACACAGCAATATTCTCTATAAAAGCAACTTTCATACACAATTATTATCATCATTTATCTATCGCTTTCTTCTTCTTCCTTACAATATTAAGAGAACCAAGCATGAACGTTTAAATCGTACAAAAAATATTCTTTTACGCAACGCTAAAAAAATAGACACATCTTAAGACACTTTTAAGTTAGAGATAAAAATAATAGTAATATAAATTAAAAGAGCGCTATAAAAGTGATTTGAGGTGTGATATGCGGTCGGTGACACGTATTTTGTGTGGTTGATGATCGCAGGTGGGCCGGCGGCGGCCGCTTCAGGGGGCTACGGGCCCACGGCGGGTACTGGCGGGGCTGCGGGGGGCGGGCCCGGGGGCTCCTGGAGTTCCTGGAACATGCCACAGAATGGGCCCCCTCCTGGGACCCAGCCCCCACCCCAGCCCCCTCAGCCCAACTCCTCGCAGCCCAACTCCAACTCGAACCCCTCTGGCCCGCAGGGTGAGTCTTCAAGCTCAGTCAAACAAACTCTCCTCTTTCCACCCTTTGGCAACGCAATTAGTTCCATTTTGACCTAATTTTGAACCTAGCTAAAGCTATGTAATCTCTTTTTTTTATATCAATTTAATTTTAAATGTCTAGTGCCTTCGAAAAGATTGATGCGCTTTAAACAATTAGAATATTTACCGTTATTTGTTTGTTCCTGATGTAATAGACTTCCTTCAGATCTCGCAGCTAAGTTTTGCTAACTGTGTGAACGATTTTTATAAATATAGTTTAATAATTGTGTTTGGATTATCACAATGTGCTTAATGAGAGAACAAATTAAATCTTTATAACATTACATTTAATTATTAATCTTTTTACATTTTTTATGTATAAAAGATCTTACAAACCTATCTTGATAGTAACTACATTAAACGAAATGTTAAAAACTATATTAATCGCTTCTGCACAAATTATCAATATGTAATTTGTTATTATGACAAAAATTGTATTAGCATATTATGCTTAATTGAATCTCTGATAATATGTGGAAAATTGGATATATTTGATACAATGTGATAGTTGTTATTATAGAGATTGAAGGAAATAAAATAAGATTTATATTATTGTATCATACATTCGTAACATCAAATAATATACAGGGCTCGGAAGTCACCGTATCTTATCCGTGAGATATAATTTCATATTATCTGGGAGATACAAAAGTGGAAAACGGCACGTAGATATTAACTTCTACTTGAAGTTGAATTGTGTAGGGATAATGAGATACGCTCGTTGCATATTGTTCAATCTTTAAAATTGAAAACAACGCTTGCTGTATATGCTTGATGCACTGCCGCTTACCGCTATTACCTCCGTATCTGCTTTATTATCTGATGTTGTAATTAGACGTTAGACGATATTATAGATTATTATGCTTCGAGCATGAGAGACGATAATTTCTGAGCCGAAACGATAAATTAAGATTATTTTTTTTTATCCAGAAATCCTGATGTATCCCAATATTCCTCCCTTTGTAAATTTTTTACTCTGTTATTATTTTTTTTACGCTTAAGTTTTTATATGTAGATGATCGAGAAGCATGTACCCTGCCAGTACATATTTATTGGGCATATATTTATAATTGAAAGATTAGTATACACTGTGTATTAGACATGTAACAGATTTCGAATAGAATTCTCAGAAGATACTTCTCTTCTCAAAATCCAAGAGCATGTTATAAAACAATAATTATTATATTTTATAAATATTAAAAATATAAAAAGAATTAATCTTAATATTTATGATTATCTATCATGTAGGATAGTGTAATCATGTTTTCCGACCATTTATTTTCTTTACCATTGTCCTATCTAATTAACGACGAATTAATGTCTCTATTGACAATAATAAATATGATCCATTGTTAGAAATATTCATAATCATGACGAATTATTTGTGTCAAGTTATAGAAATAAATTTTATAATAAAAGAAAATAAAGAGATTATATTACAACCGACATAAATTCGTCTCTGAGATCCTGAACATCAGTATGATACTTTTAATATCTTCGCTTGTGTGTAATATATGTTTGTCTCACCTTAGTGCTTTTTATTGTTACACACAAAAGGTGTGTATTCAATCGTATATAAAAGCATAAATGAAATAAAACTTTATTTAATCTAAATTTATTGTGGAAAATGCAACTTGTATATGTGAATGTCTTTTTTACAATATTTATTACTTAAGACAATTTTTTTTACAATTGCTGAAAATTATTGTATGAATAAATGTATAATAATTCGAGAAACTTAGATGTTAAAGATATCAAAATAGTTAGTCTGCACAATTTATTATTATGCTAGATGATCGTTATAGTTATTTGATATAATGCATGTGATTATATGTCTTGAGCATACATTGTTTATTTATTGATTAAAAAATGTAAGTTTTAGTAAGATTTATATATTTTACAAATACTTGAAAAAAATCTCTGATGTTATAATTATACATTATTATTTTATGATTCTAAATTTCTAAAAATCAATATTTGGAAAAAATAAGATTAAGTAATCGAATGTAAAGTTAAATCAATATATGTGTATCGATTTTATTTTGGTATTAAAAATAGCAAAATTAGAAATGTATTCATACATTTTGATATTAAGGATAGCAAAAGTAAATGTATGTATATATGTTTGTAAAATTTCATACTAGGTGAGATACTCTTCTTACACACAAATGTTTATGAAACAAAATCTTATTGTTTTCAATATTTACGAGGATATATTGGTATAAATAATATTATTTATTAATAACTTAATTATTTTTTTTTTATTAAATTTTTTTAAGATTGCATTTAATTAGTGGATATTTTTAAGAAAACGATTGCTATTATATTGTTTTAAACAAAAAATAGCAAAAATATTGCTTTGTTGAATAATAAAAATATTTTATTATTTCTATATCATTTAATTATGATATTGATAGATATAAAAAAATAAGGTAAATTTACGCAAGTCGTAAACAAAAAGATATATATATATATATATATATTTTTTTTTTTTTTTTAAGTTTTCTAATAACAATTCTTTTCAATATTTGCTCTTTTGATTTTTCAATATTGTAACATTTAAATAATAGTGCAAGAAAATATATGTAAATTACATATTGGAAATAATTATCTGCAATATTCTCTTAAACATAGTTATATTTTAACTTATCTTATTTTTTTATATCTTTTATGAAACCATTAGAAATTAGTTTTTAAAGTTTTGATTAGGTGAATTTGATGATTTAATGTTTTACGAACGAATGTTCCAGGTGATATGTATTCACGGCAGAACACCGGCTCAGGTGCGCCCGGATCCAGCAGCAGTTCGGCTAAGACTCCAGATTACACTGGGTACTCCGCTTATAGTAATTACGCGGACACCACTTATCCTCAGCGTTCGTATCAGGGAGGAGAAAGCAACCAAGGTGGGTATGCCGCCAGCGCTCCTAAACCCGGTCAGCAAGGCTTTGATTTCAAAGAGTGGCCCACCTCATGACCATTTTAATTGACTCATGGTGGAGAAATGCGCTGAATGGCTTGGCCTTGCTCGTGGGTTATTTCTTACTTCATATTCAAGATAATCGCAAATTGTATTTGATCGTGAAATCTGCGCTATGATGCGAGACATTCCTTGTCGTTTTGCGTCACTTATCTATCTACTTACCTATGTGCGTTAGGAATGCCATTATTTAGAAAAAGTATCTTGTTTAAGGAATTATGCGCTACATAACATATTTTTGTAGAAACTGTAAATTAGAATTACGATATTAGAGTTGTAAAGTACTTGCTGAAAAAGTTGCTGAAAAATTCGCAAGCGTAATCGATGATAGAAAACGCAAAGAATGTCTCTTGTTCAAGCCAGTACGTCGTTCGCGAGCGGTCATACTTATAAATAAATATCTTTTTTGATAATATCGAAGTGTGCAAGAGAAAGTTTGGAGAACGGAAGCATCAAGGAGGAATGTTTAGGCTCTTTCCAGATATTGATTTTCTTATTGATCGCTCGCGAAAACGACCTATGATCTTGTCGGATAAAAATAAAGAAATAAATTCTCTTAAAGTTACATTAAATAAAGTAGAACAAACAGCTCGACAGAATTAGAATAGATACCCATGATGCAAGCGAAGTTTGTATGGCACTAGGATAGAGGGAAGAAAGCGCGATGTAGAAGTATATTATAAGAATAATATATAATATGAGTGGATTTTGTAGAAGAGAGAAAAGTAAATGAGTAAAGTAAAAAAAAGCGAGCGTAAAGAGTCAGGAATGCTAATCATTTAATCGATATAATGGCATTTATTACGGAGGTGAATAAGATCTCAAGTTGGAGAGTATTTCTTTTCCGAACAAGCATAAATTTTTCGATGCTTGTTCACCTCCTGATCGTTAGCAGGCACTTCGGTAACACAAACGATAAGAATATAAACGAAAGAAATATTTAAACTATAGTCTCCGATGGAAAGTCAGCGCGATGACTTGCACATTCGAGACACTCGTCCCTCCACGATCTTGTATTTATTAAATAGTTGTTATATCGGATATAATTGAAGAAAAAAAAAATGATAACAAGAATAATTAATCAGATAATTAAGTAAGATGATCACAGGCTGACCTACGATTGTAGAGAATAGTGTAAAATGTATAGATGATTTTAATATGGTATTGTATAATCTACATAAATCTTGACACTCTCAGTAGGATGCGGTTTTTGCGGGCATCCTTTTTTACTTTTATGTCATATCACTAGTAGTATCTTAAAAATACGTATTTCTCTCTCAGTTCCTTTTTTTTCTACTCTTTCTTGTTTACGACTAATTCCTTAAATTAGTTTAGCGACTGCTTTCCTACTCTTCCAAATAATTTGGAAATAATATCAATGTGCGAAAGGGAGGGGATAATAAGAAAAAAACAAACAATCATAAATATTTTTACAAATTGTATTATAAGAACTTAGTGTGGTCGTCGGACTGGCTTCTGTTCGGCCATACCATAATGCACGTGGAAACTGGTTTATTTTTTACCTCCGATTTATAATAGCTGTTATTAGGCACGTTTAAGGCTACGATTATTATTGTTACTATTATATATAATTAATTCTATATTATTACTATACTATATATACAAATACTATTATACTCTTATCACTATTGCTATTGCTACTATTGCAAGTACTACAACTGCACTATTACTATTACACTATTATTATTGTCGACGATAATTATGAAATATTGTACGATGATGTGCTTATAAGTGTTTAAATTTTAGATGATTAGAACAAGATCATTGGTGGATAAGGTGGAGGGAAGGGTATATATTGTAATCGTATGGATATATCTCGGTAGGGGACATTGACCTGAAAAGTTTACCTGATTAAATATATGACTTAATTATATTTACTCTGTAGGATTTACCATAGATCTAAACGAGGAATATTTCGGAAGAGTGCTCTCGAAATGCTCATGTTTAATTATCGAGCGGGTCGCGTTGTGTCTTATTTTGTCGATAATGGCGAGTATTACACTAATATATACATATAATTCATCAAGTAAATAGACCTTTTATCACACATAAAGATATATAATTAATAGATTACAGTTACAAAGAATCACAATTTCGTTAAGTATCGAAAATCTGATCTCATATAATGTAATTTATCATTGTCCACGTTCTTTTTTTCGTTCATCGAATAAACACAACACAATGTAAGAATTATTATATTTTAAGTGGAAGACGATCGACTGTTATTTTTGTTCTTCTTTTTTTCGTATCTACTATTGTTTGTTTCGCACCATTCATGTGTCACATTTTACAGTTTGATATGTATTTTAACAATATAGTACTGAATATTATACATTCAAAGTTATAGTAAGCTAATTTTTTTTTATTGCGATATTTATTATCGGTGTATCAATTACTATATCGAGTTCAAATATGGAGTCAATTTGCATTTGATTAAAAATCATGTATAATAACTTGTTTTTCGTCTGCGAAAGATATATCGCGGAGGGAAAACTAATGTTGTGAAAATCGGATGAAGAGAAATGACGAGCGAAACGTTAACAAACGCGACTCGTGTAAATTTCTGGGATCAACGCAATAACACACTTAATTAAACACATAACAACACGAGAAATGCAATTAGAGAGCTCAATCAAACAACCAATTTTACACATTATTATTATAGTAAGACAAACGGAACACGTACAGATAACATTTACACTTACGAACACTTATTCACACACACACACACGCACGCACGCACACACACATACACACACACTTCTACGCGGATAAAAAAAATAAATTAATTAACTTTTTGGCAGCACTTAAAACTGCTTTTTATTTCTAGTGACCTAGAAATGCATTATTACGCGATATACTCTCCAAATTTATTCTATTTATACATATGAAAAAACAGCTATAAATATAAAATATCTATGGCTATTATTTTCTAGTCTATCTCTTACAGATTGGATTAAATAATGTTATTTATCTGGTTTATAACAGCCGAGTTTTACCAGTTTTAAATTATTTTTTTCATTTTTACAAACTAGGTATAAAATAGGTATAAAATAATGATGTTATATAAATTAATAATGGAAAGCTTTAATTGCTTAATAAACTTACTTAAATTTTTATTCGCTTGTACCAGAAAGAATTTTCAAATTTAAATGGATTATGACTATTCAAAATCAAAAAATTAAATGGACTATATTATTGAATATTATTATTATTTAAATGATAAAAAAATTTATTAAAAAATACACACAGTTGAAAAATGATAAAACATTTGATTCTATATAATATCAGGATAATATCATAAACAGGATAATTAATCTTATTTAATCTGATTTGCAAGAAAGGCAAACGGCAAATAATAGCGATATATTTTACATGTGGCTGTTTTTTGTAATTTAATTTAAAAATGAATACCAATAAATAACGATGCAAATTAAGAAATAGTATATTAATTATATTATTACTACTAATATATATTATATTTCTTACTATTATCGATTTTTAACTAAAGTTAAAGCGTGAATTTTAAAGTCTTTAAGTGTATGCGAGGTATTAAGGAAACGCGGTTATTACATTTAATTTGTACAGAGCACGTAAATATAATCGATGCGTTTGTTGAGGATTGGTATGTAAATGAACTAATTAATTTATAATATTAACGACTCTCAGACGGATAAAATAAATTTAAATATTAGCGCGCGAGAAAGGAAAAAAAGAAAGAACTACAAAGATTTAATGGCTGTCTTTGGCGGGATTGTATATATACATACATTTTAGACTATTACGATGATACAGTTTTGAAAAATGCGCAATGGAATTTGATGGAAGATATATAAAAAGCAAAAGGCAAAAAGAGCGGGGGAGGGTGGGGGATTTGTAAAATTTGTTTTAAAAATCATAAAAAAAATTCCGGAAAATGATAAAGGTATCCAAAACGTCATATTACACTCTCATTGTCAGTAGGAATTTTACTCTACCTAGCAAGACAAGATTCTTGTTATTCAATTTATCAAACGCGAACACAGCACATCGACTGCGATGGATACCTCAAGATATTCGATTGCTCGTTTGATCAGAAAGACATGCACGGTGAACTCGTATCATGATTATGTTTGGATCTTTTTATAGATCGGGAATTGAGGGGGTGCAAGTCATCTTTAATCTAGAAGGGCAAGATTCTATTCGAATAATATTGATGATTACTCTAATTGTACAACAGATAATATATTTATATTTAACGCAATATTATTAGTATTTTTAAATACAGAGATGACGCATCTAATTAATGTAATAGGTAGCATATATAGAAAAGATATACTTTGATTCTAGCCGTTGTTACTATCTGCCTCATTCGCGATTACGCGAACTGTACGGCTTGCTCTCAGGGTTGTTGTTGTTCTCTTTCTTTTATTATTGTTTCTGTGCAGTTCTTTTCTTCCTTTCTATCTTACGTTCATCTACTTTTATCGAGTCGTATTTATTTTTTGTCTTTTAAACGGGCACTTGTGCACGCTTTACGCTATTTGCCAAATATCACGTAAAGAGACCTCACATTCAGTATTGAAACATCTTTTACGCGATGCTTTCCACAGTTCGTCATCCCTGTTTAAATAGACTGAAGCATCTTTCATTTTTTTTCTAAAATATTAAATATATATCTGAAAAGAAAATCAACGTATCGACATCCGCTGGAGACCGTTATTCTGTATAATAATCATGATTTTGAGAAACGAGGAAAGAATGTCTCGAAAATTATTTTTTTAGATGTTATTCTTCTATAAGTTGTTACATTAAAAATTGAAAGCTAGATTATTCTTAAGAACGATTTTTCAAAAACAAGAAAAGAATAGATGGATTATAAATTTCAATGGATTTACTATAATTTATTATAACTTATGATAGCTG